ACGGTCTCACCCCTGCAGGCCTCATCTCGCTCCTACCCAGACACCCACACATCCCAGACTGATCAGCCTCTTTTGCTTTCAGTCATTTACCCCTTCAGGACAAATGGAACATCCACTCTGGGCCAGCACTACGGGCAACGGGGAGAAGGGGGGACCAGGACAGAGTATCTGTTCTTCACAATCTGTCAGTCTAGGAGGAGACAGACAATAAACAAGGCAATGCTGTGTGTTAGTCACCCAGTCGTGTCTGACTCTTTGCCACCCCCCAGATTGTTGCCCGCTGGGCTCCTCTGTCCATGGAATTCTCCAGGCAAGAAAGAATACCAGAGTGGGTTGCCATTCCTTTCTCCAGGGGATCTTTCCCATCTAGGGATCAAACCCAGGTCTCCCTCATTGCAGGCAGATTCTTTACTATCTGAGCCACCAGGCAAGCCCAAACAAGGGAATCAACCCAGATAATTGTGGCTAAGTACAGTCTAGATAAATAGGGTGAAAAAAATAGGGTGAAGGAAAGACACCAGTGGGAGAGGAGGAGGGTGCTGTGTTAGGAGGTGTGGTGTTGTGTTTGCCTGCCAGGCAAAATCAACTGACGTTCAGGTCTCAGGTTCAGGGTTCAAATCTCAGGTAAATGCTTCCTCCCAGCAAAGCCCTTCCTTCCCTCCCAGGTGGGGTGGTACCCTAGGGTTATATCCTAACAGCCTACCAGTGCGTTTTCTTTTTCTTAATAATTTTATTTATTTATATTTACGACTTCCCTGATAGCTCAGTTGGTAAAGAATCCGCCGGCAATGCAGGAGACCCTGGTTGGACTCCTGGGTTGGGAGAATCTGCTGGAGAAGGGATAGGCTATCCACTCCAGGATTCTTGGGCTTCCCTTGTGGCTCAGCTGGTATAAGAATCTGCCTGCAATGCAGGAGACCTGGGTTCGATCCCTGAGTTGGCAAGATCCCCTGGAGAAGGGAAGGGCTACCCACTCCAGTATTCTGGCCTGGAGAATTCCATGGACTGTGTAGTCCACGGGGTTTATTTATTTATATTTAGCTCTGCTGGGTCTTCATTGCTGGGTGGGCTTTTCTCTAGCTGAGGCTCCAGGGCTTCTCACTGCCTTGTTCATTGTTTGTTTCCTCTCCTAGAATGCAGCTTGTTAAGAACAGATGCTCTGTCAGTCCTGGTCATCCCTTCTCCCCGTTGCCTGTAGTGCTGGCCCAGAGTGGACACTCCATTTGTCCTGAAGGGATGAGCCACCGACAGAGTCAGAGAGGCTGATCGACCTGGGATGATCAGCAGCGAGAGGCTTCTTTTGTTCTTTTGCTGCGGAGCACCAGCTCTAGGGTGCACAGGCTTCAGTAGCTGCAGCTCCCCAGCTCTAGAGCACAGGCTCCATAGTTGTGGCACACGGGCTTGGATGCTCTGTGCCATGTGGGATCTTCCTGGATCAGGGATCGAACCTGTGTCTCCCGCATTGGCAGATGGATTCTTTACCACTGAGCCACCAGGGAAGCCCCTATCAGTGCTTTTCCTAACACATCATAATCACGATTGGCTGCTGGGTGTCTCTTTCCCCTCCTACAGCTCCAACGTGCCCTGCTCACCCATCCAGTGCTTTTAACAGTGGCTGCAGGCTCCCAGTTCATATTGTTAGACAGCAACTGAGAGTCAGGCTAAATGGCTGCCAGCTTCCGAATCCCACACCTCTAATCAGAGCACTTCCTGAGGACAAATCCTTCTACTGGAGATATGTTTAGGAAATATGCTTTTTCACTACATAATGAGCCTTTTAATATGGAACACGCTAATGAGAAAATTAGGAAGACTGTACTGATGATGGAAGGCTGCAGTGTCTGAGGGCAATTATTTCAGTGACAGTATCGCCATTAGAAAGATGGCTAAAATTCATAAGGAAATCCACTGGACAATAACAAATGAATTTTTAAAACTTCAGTGCAGGACTTCCCTGGTGGTCTAGGGGTTGAGAGTCTGCCTGCCCATGCAGGGGAGGAGGGCTCGATCCCTTGTCCAGAAAGATTCCACATGCCAAAGGGCAGCTAAGTCCTGAGCCCGCCTGCCTTAGAGCCCCTACGGTGCCCGAGCGCCGCGGCCAGAGAGCAGCCCCAGTCGCCGCCACTAGAGAAAGCCCAAGCAGGAACGAAGACCCAGCACAGCCAAAAATAAATTAAAAAAACAAAAAAAATTCAATGTAAACAAAGTAAAGCAGCAACTCCGTTCAGTGTTCTGGGCCAGTGAAGACTACGACTGGGTGGAGAGCAGGAGAGTCTGACTGTCCTGGGCTCGAGATGCCACCAGATTTCCAACCCCAGATCCTGCCATATCACAGGGGAGTGAGTGACACTTTACCTGTCAAAGTCAAGGTGTCACTTTAACCAAGATTTGTTGCCTGTCCTCTTTGATAAATGGGATTGAAAACCTCTGCCTTTAGGTAAAGGATTTTGTTTTCAGTTTTATTTCCTTTCTACATCTTTGCTCTTTTCTCTAATTGCCCTCTTGTGATAAGAGTCTGAGAGCCCTTACCCTTTCACAAGAACTTGTGGTTTCCCCATCACTCCCTGGTCCTCACCCTCCATGTGGCGGCTGTGGTGGCCCTGAAATAGTGGCAGAGTTTTTAAGATCTAAGCTCTGTCTGGGCCCAGTTCCAAAAAATCACAGAAGGCTCAGTCTAGAAAAAAGAAAAAAAATGTCCCGATGGTATAGTTCCCCCAGAGGTCGCCTCCTTCTGATTCTTCTGGTATTTCAAGCACATCAGTGGACTTGGGGTCCTGGGAACACAAACAGGCCCTCTGTAGAGTGGAGGGTTTTTTTGGAGAGGCAGGAAAGGGGAAAGATTTATACACCATTTTCTGCATTTATTGAAAATGTTTAGTTTCTAAACTGCATATGTGGTGGAATATGTGTGTGTGTGTGTGTGTGTGTGTGTGTGTGTGTGTATGATAGCTGACTCTAAGGAAAATATGAATATTAAACCACATAGGAACAATCCCAAGGGAAAAAAACCATAAAGAGACATTTCAAAAAAAGTTTAGATTTCAAGAAAATTTGTATTTTCTCCTGCAGAGAAATAAAGGACCTGTGAATAGTGATTCTAAAAATATACAGGATGGCTCCAGTAGTTTCAAGGGGAATGAAAGAGATATAGCCAACTTCAAGTATTTTTTCTGAAATTGCATAAAAGGAGGGGAGAAAAACACTGAGTTAGTTTTTGAACCTGGAGACTTGAGTAATTACCGTCATTAGAACAAACTGCTTCAGAATCTGAGTCATTTGAGGTTCTTGCCCAACTGGCAAAGACTTGAAAAGAATGAGGAAGCACATATTTTCTTCCCAGCTGTACAACACAATGGTAAATTGTGCCCACTGCCTTGAACTTGCGAGCTTGGCTGCATAACTGGAATAAGCAATTGGCAGACATCAATTCCATGCCCCTATTTACGTACAGAGGAAAAAACTAGGAATCGAGGGGCAGGTACCACGTCCTGAAGGAGCTAAATAAACACTCAGGTTGGAAAGATGAAGCACAGAAATCACACAGGAAAAGAACAGAAGAGCAGTATTGTCTTTCCCAATAAATTTCCATAATGGGCAGGGTTTCTTGAGAGAAAGAAAACTGAAAGGATAAAAGGAGAAAACAATTACTTGGAATAGAGATTCTGGTATTTGTTAGTCGCTCAGTCGTACCTGACTCTTTGCGACCCCATGGACTGCAGCCTGTCAGGCTCCTCTGTCCATGGGATTCTCCAGGCAAGAACTGGAGTGGGTGGCCATTTCCTTCTCCATGGGATCTTTCTGTCCCAGGGATCAAACCCAGGTCTCCTACATTGCTGGCAGACGCTTTACCGTCTGAGCCACCAGGGAAACCTTCATAGATTCTGGAGTCCATATTTATTTGAATGACCAATCAACTGCCTAGAAGATAAGGTTGTTTCTCTGTAATGTGTACAGATTTTAACTCATAATGAAAGAAAACAGCCATGAGGCTTTAATCAGCTCTCTGAAGAAAGCAACCCCGTTCCTCACAGCTGACCCAAGCTGTTGTGGACACATGGATCCTTACTGTTCATTAAAGATACTCATACTGAATACTTACAGAGACTTGTGCTAAACAACAGGGATAGAGATAAAGAAGTTCCAATCCTTTTCTTCAATTCAGACTTTTTTTCTTTTTGGCCGAGTGGCAGTCTTGAGGAATCTAAGCTCCCCAGTCAGGGATTGAACCTGGGCCCCCGGCACTGAAAGCACAGAATGCTAACCAGACTGGACTGCCAGGGAATTCTCCAGTTCAGACATTAAAGTCGCATTTTACCTTGAAACTATGATGCAATATGGTAAGTGCAATAAAACAGAATTTTAAACGAACTCTTTTGGCAACATGGTGGGCTGGCTACACCACATACAACCCCATGATACCAGACAAATTAATCATTCTCAAGCCTGTTTCTTCATCTTGTAAAACAAGGATACTATGAGTACCCACTTTGGGACTAGTACATAATAGAGGACAGTAAACATAGTCACTACTCGTTATTTTTATTATTTGTCATTATTATTGTCATATATTGACAATTAGGCTATGGGAGGAAAGATTAGTTCAACAGGTAGAAAATCAGCCCAAAAGAATGCTCAAAGCACTTGTGAATATGCAGTACCTATTTTTCTGGAATGCAATTGAGTCACATTTTACCGAGGGACAGTTTCTTCCCAGCAAAATGAGACTACGTCCCATGTTGTAGCATTGTGAGAATTCCCTGAAAGTAAACGTCAAGTTCCAGAGTGCAGGGGCCCACCCAATGGAAGCCGGTGTTTCGCTAGGGGAATTCTGGGCAATCGGGAAAACTGGGCAAGAGCACGTCCCAGTTCTGGCCTTCCCCCTTCCAAGACCGCAGGACGTCAGTCCCTGTGCGTGTTCGCTGTCGTGTCCTGAGTTTGGCGGGAAGGTCCGGGGGCCCCGGCTCCTACCCGCACCAGGCAGGATGCTCCTACCCCTCCAGGCCTGCCGGCGCGCGGCCCCATCTCAGCACAGCGCTTCCCGACGTGCCGCGCGGAGAGGGCTTCCCAGACAAATCAAAGACGAAAACCAACCTATGACCCTTCCCGGAGCGACCAGCGATCTCGAAAAGCCGCGCAGTCCGGTCTCGCCTTCCTCTTACTCCAGAGGCCGGACGCCAGGTCTCCCATAGCAACTGCAGTCAATAGCACCGGGCGACCAGCCCGGGCAGGGCCCTCTGCGCAGGCGCGAGAGGTGGCGGCCCCACGGCTTCCGTTCGCGCCCAGCGTCCTTCGGAAATAGGGGTGGGGCCTGCGTGATGACGTCACGGGCCGGGGTTACGGTGGCGGGAAAAGGCGGCGCGAGAATGGAGGCGCAGGAGAGCGGTGGTGGCACGGGCGAGTGCGGGGCCCAGGACGCTGCTCCAGGCCCTAGCAAGGCCCCCGGCAGCGCCGGCCACTACGAGCTGCCGTGGTGAGGACCCAGGCCATCCACGATGGGGTCCCTGGACGTGCGGGTGGGCGAGCGGCGGGCCGTGTGTCCCAGCGTGACGTAGGGGCGGGAGTTCATTCACCTGAGCAGAGCAGGAGGTCCCAGGGTGGTGTCCAGTGGGTTATTATTTGAAGGTGGTAAGAGCTGTGGGTCGCTGAACCCCCCTGGGGTGCAGAGTGACCAGTCTGAACTCTGGAAGCGGCGTTTTGATCACAACACTGCTGACTGATAACAGCCACCCCCGGCCACCACCCACTCTTGCACCAGACGCTCTGCCAGCTGGGACTCTGATGATCGCTGGACGGAAAGTGTCGGACGCAGGTTCGGAATCGGGGATGGTGTTGCAGAAGGCACCGGCCTGTTCTCCGTGGCTTGCTCACTTTAAATAGCAGCATCCTGGGGAGCTGGGAGGAAACGGTGACTTAGAGAGTCACCCGCCGCTGGCGCAGGTGTGGGGCAGGCTCTTTGCTGGGGTCCCGCTCCCGGAGCGCACCTCTCACAACTCTGTCCACTGGGCGTTGTCATGGTTTCCTCCCTGCCCCCGCGGTGCATTCCCATCCCTCCAGCCCACCCCACTTCTGGGTGAGAACAGATATCTAAATGAAGGGCAGTATAATTTATTGGAATATATACGCTGCGCTGTGCAGTCCCCCAGCCACTAGCCACATGCGTCTGTTGAGCACTGGAGATGATGCTAGTCCGAACTGAGATGGATTGTAAGTGTATAGCATACACGGGATTTCAAGGACTTAGTTTTTTTTTAATCTCATTATTAATTTTGATTACATGTTCAAAATAATAATACTTTGAATATATTAGTTTCTCTAAATTATGTTAGTATAATTAAGCTCATCCAATTTTACCTTTTTAAACGTGGCTGAGAGAAAGTGTAAAATGACATACGTGGTTTGCCTTGTAAATTTCAGGCACAACCCTATTTTAGATGCTTAAAGATAGTGTGAAAAGCAAACTGTTGCCACAGAGCTCACATTTGATAGAGAAAGACAACAAAGTGAAAAATCAACAAGTAGACAGATAGTATATTTGATGCTGGGAAAGATTGAGGGCAAGAGGAGGAGGAGGTGACTGGATGTGATGGTTGGATGGTATCACCCACTCAATGGACATGAGTGTGAGCAAACTCAGGGAGATAGTGAAGGACAGGGAAGCCTGGCGTGCTGCAGTGCTTGGGGTTGCAGAGTCAGACCTGACTCAGACACTGAACAACAACAGTATTTGATGGTGCCAGGCTCTGTGGCGCAAATAGCTGTGGTGGTAAGGGAAGGCCTGTGATGAGATGGTATTTGAGTAAAGACCTGAATTCAGGCAGTAAGCCACATGGCCGTTCAGAGAGAGAGCTTTCAGGCACGGGGACCAGCCGAGAAGTCCCTTGAGGAGAGTGTGTTTGTCTTGTTCAAAGTCAAGCTCAAATTTCAGCTCCAAACAACCCCGGGTGACAAGTCCTCCTTCCCCCGACTTCCACAGCCTGTGGTTTATATAATCTGCTTAGCTTTGTCATAGAATTTGCTAAGCTCTATCTCCCCTCTAGTGGGAAAGCTCTTGATAGCAAGAACCGTGCCCTGTTCATCTCTGCACCTTCTACTTTTCTCCTCCTGAGAGTTCTGACTCCTTCCACAGCACTTGGTAAAGGGGGGCTGCATGTGAAGAATAAATGAGTAGGACCAAGCATGCTGTCATCTGCTGACCCTGGAGGAGAGCTGTCCCTTTCTTTTCTGCAGTACGTGGCAAACAAGCTTCTTTGCGTCCAGCTGCTTTTGGGGCAAGACCAGGACCTGGAGGGGGACCAGCTCAGAGTGAATCAGGGAGTACAGTGAAGGGCAGACGGAGTCCTGATGGTCAGATCACTGCAAGTCTGCTTCCACTTATGTTCTCAGAGCTGAAGAAAGTCACTTTTCTCTCATCACATAGCTTGCTTGTTAATTAAAAGAGAGAAGTATTAGGAATTCTCTGGCAGTCCAGTGGTAAAGACTCTTGAGCTTCCAATGCAGGGGACGCAAGTTTGATCCCTAATCAGGGAACTGAGGTCCCGCAAGCCATGTGATGCAGTCAAAAGAAAATTAATTTTTTAAGAAAGAGAAGCGTTGTCCTAAGGCCACCAGCCTGTCCAGTCCACACAGCCTGAAAGGATGACAGGAGAGGCCTGCAGTTTCTGTCTAGCCGGCCCTGCTGGGCCCCTGGCATGAGTCTGCAGACACTGGCAGGTGAGGGGTGAGAAGGGGGCTCGGCTGCATTGGTGTCTGTCAAAGCAAATGATGTCAGTGCCACGTGCCCCGGACTTGTGTTGTGACGGGAAGACTGTGATGCCACACAGTGCCATCTTGCTCCAGATGGCCAGCTCTGGCCCTGCTCCAGCATCAACAGGTGTTTCTCTGCTGTGGCAGGTTTGAAGCCTTTGGTACATGATTCACATGCACTTGACTTTTCAAACAGCACTAGGACACCTCTTTAAAACCTGCAACCATTTGCTATATGTTTACTGAAAGTATATCGTCTTCTGACAAAGCTCCCAGCATCGCCCTTTTGTGCTTCTTTTCGGGTAGCATGAAAATAGCCTCGTCAACATCTTTCTGCGTTTTCTTAAAAACAGGGTTGAAAAATATAGACCAGTGAAGTTGAATGAAATTGTTGGGAATGAAGACACCGTGAGCAGGCTGGAGGTGAGTGAGTTTTTAAGGTGATTGATTTTTATTTGTATTTTTTGGCCATGCCATGCAGCCTGTGAGATTTCAGCTCCCCAACAAGGGATGGAACTCCTAACCCCTGCATTGGAAGCGTGGAGTCTTAACCAAGGAAGTCCCTGAAAGATGATCTTAAACATCTCACTATTGTGGCTTTGATAAGCTCAAGGCATTTGGAGGAAGACAGCCACGAATCTGGAAGAATTAAGGGAATGGGAGATATTCAGTTTAGAGAGAAATCTAGAAGCTGGAGTGGGTGACTTCAAATGTTTGAAAGGCTGGCTCGTTGGAGAGGACTTACCAGATTGTTTTGTATTCTTCAGAAGCATCAGTGGCAAGCTTTCTGTAAAGGCCAGTGAATAGGTATTTTAGGCTTTGAAACCATATAAGGTCTTTGTCAAATATTCTGTTGTGGTGTTTTTTTTTGTTTTTTAAAAAATGTTTTCTTTCTTTCTTTCTGGCTGCGCTGGGTCTTTGTTGCTGTGCTGGGCCTTTTCTCTAGTTGCGGCAAGCGGGGGCTCTAGGGCGCTTGGGCTTCAGCTGTGGCTCACCGGGTTAGTTGCCCCGTGGCATGTGGGATCTTCCCAGAGCAGGGATTGAACCCATGTCCCCTATGTTGGCAGCCAGATTCTCAACCACTGGACCACCAGGGAAGTCCAAATATTCCTTATTTTTTAAACAAGTCTTTAAAAATGTGAAAACCAGCCCTGGCTGGTCAAGTTGGCAGGTGAACCAGTTTTCACGAACTTTCTTTCCCTCAGGTCTTTGCAAGAGAAGGGAACGTGCCCAACATCATTATCGCTGTGAGTACTGGGTCCTGGCCCTGTGGGACATCTTGGAGTCTGGGTTTCACCCCGCTCTTAGATACATTCTTGTGTACGGAGCTTCCTCCTCAAGGAGACTCATGATCAGAGCCCAGACCACGCCCCTCAGCCACAGGAGACAGTTCCCTCCCACCTGCGGGCTGGTTGCTGTAGAGATGGGGTGTGTGTGCGGATTGGGTCGGGACAGTTCTAGGCGGGGGTGAGCGGGTACAGTGGTGAGCAGTAAAGAGGGAGTTCCAGTTACATTAATTCTGTCGAAGCACTTACTGGAGACCTCATTCCTAGGGCCCCCCGGGAACCGGCAAGACCACCAGCATCCTGTGTTTGGCACGAGCCCTGCTGGGCCCAGCTCTCAAGGATGCAGTTTTGGAGCTCAATGCCTCAAACGACAGGTACACCTTGGAAGTTAGGCCTGAAGGGTAGCGCATGTTGTACATTTTGAGTTGTCATAGAAACAGCTGATTTTCAGATCTCTGTAGCACACAGAGCTTGTATCGCCGGCTTTATGTTTCCCTTTAATCTTTCTAACAAAAGAGAACCGGGACTGCTGGCTTGGTGATGTGGCATCATAGGCACTTGACTTACTGCTTTAGTTTTTTTTTTTTAAGGGAGATTTTAAAAATTGCTTTTAATTCTGCTAAAATACACATCACATGAAACTTGCCATCTTAAAAAAAATTTACCATCTTAACCATTTTTTAAAAATATATTTATTTATTTGGCTGTGCTGGGTCTTCGTGGTGGCATGCAGGGTACTTTAGTTGCAGCCTGTGGGATCTAGTTCCCTGTTATTGTTCAGTCACTCAGCCGTGTCCGACTCTTTGCAACCCCGTGGATTGCAACACACCTGTCCTTTACCATCTCCTGGAGCTTGTTCAGACTCATGTCCGTTGAGTCGGTGATGCCATCCAGCCATCTCATCCTCTGTTGTCCCCTTCTCCTCCTGCCTTCACAGTCTTCAGTAGTTCCCTGACCAGGGATCAAACCCAGGCCTTCTGCATTGGGAGCTTGGAGTCTTAGCCACCAGACCACCAGGGAAGTCTCCCCAGTTTACTTTTTAGATACGGGATAGTTGAGGATTATGAAGTGAAGACCTGTTGAATAAAATGTCTGCAAAGTCTGCCTTTGGCTATTCCCTTGAGGACGTGGATCTTCACTCTGCAATGTTTTCCTGGTTTGGATGATGTGTGTAGACCTGAAACAGGCTCTAAATGCAGCTAACTGCTCATCAGCTATCAGGAGCACACCTGCAGTTGAGCCTTTTTGTAAATGCCAGTTCCAGGTAGCAGATACGAATTGGTTCAAGCTTACCATTACCTTCTTTTCTTCTCACCCATGTATCATCAAACTCACTAGTTTTGAAAACTTTGGTGGCTCTTAATTTTGTTGGAGGATAGCCCATAATTGCAAATATATGTAATTTTAGATTTATTAGAGTGATGAGCACCATGGCTTTTTCTTGTTCCTTTATCATCTGTTTCCTTCCAGTCACCTTGTCAAACACACCTGCCTTCAGCTTTTGATCGCTTACAGACTGTATGTAGATGTGGGTGTTCAAACCTCATCAAAGATGAATGAACACTGTCAAATGTTCTTTTAGCAAAACGGGATGGTCTGTATTCTTGTTATAAGACAGTGGGGAGCTAAGTCCTTCCTGTTGAGTGACTAACTGGATGAAAATATGTTTAGGTTTTGTCCTTAGAAATATGTTCACTCCTTGATTCTTTTTTTTTTTTAATTAATTAATTTATTTGGATGCACCGGGTCTCAGTTGAGGCACATGAAGTCTTTAGTTACAGCATGTGGAATCCAGTTCCCCGACGAGGGACTGAACCCAGGCCCCCTGCACTGGCAGCCCAGCATCTTAGCCACTGGACCACCAGGGAAGTCCCACTCCTCAATTCTTAAGTTTGAGAAAATTCATGTAGGATTTTGGCATCCGAGGACTCTTAAACTCTGAAACTATGTGATCAATTTCACCATCATCATCAGAGTCTAGACTCCTGTCTCACTGCTTCATTTTCTGACTTGTCTAATAATGATGAAACATCTTCCTCTGCCATTTCTCTGACATGGGTAGAAAATGAAAAATTTTGAATTTTCCACTGTGGTCAAAGATAGCATTCAGGTGGTGTATCTGAACTACTTTTGCATCTTCTAAAGATAATGTAGAACCTCACAAAACAATCAGAAACTGAGGGATGGGGCAATAGTTAGTAACAGTTTTTTCCCCTCAGTATTGCAAAAGCAATTCCATCAGCATTTCATTTTCTTATTATTTTAGTCTTTTGTAGCATAGTTGGGAATTATTGATGAGTAATGATAAAACAGTTACTGGGATGATGAAATAGCAAATGTTTCCAGGTACAGAATGGGAGATGTAAGATTATGGAGATCCCCAAAATATATCTTAGATTGTCAAAGGGTCCAGTGGACCCATATGATAATTGCAAGATAAAATATGTTTTCATTCCATTTTTCAAAAGGAAGTAAATTTTTTTCCCCTTTGTTCTTCAGAAAACCTCCAAGAGGGAATAAGAGTAATGAAATGTCAGTCCTTATAAATAGTGAGAGTTGCCCAAAAAAAGAGACTTTAAGTCTAAATTGGGTCCATGGTGGTGTCCTGAGGGTTGAAAGTCCCCCCGTGGAGGTGACTGAATTGGTCTCAGTGACAATAACCTTGTGGCTCATCGTTCCAGGGGCATCGATGTTGTGAGGAACAAAATCAAAATGTTTGCCCAGCAGAAAGTCACCCTGCCCAAAGGACGGCACAAGATCATCATCCTGGACGAAGCAGACAGGTAGGGGCCTCACTGAGAACCAGTCACCATGACCCCCAAGTCTCCTGCCTGGATTTAATAACTCAGGAGGAAAAGCTCACGCTTTTGCGCTTCTGTGGTCGATTTGCTCATCACATCTTGAAAAGCGATTCCGTAGGGGCCTGAGCCTTAAACCTGATCTTAATTAAGTAACTTACAAACATCCATCTAAGACAGTTCATTAGTTTGTTCCAGCATCACTGACATGCATAATTTAAATGATTTTTTTTTTTTGGTGAAATACAACTAACAGAAAAGTTAGCATTTCCAGTCACTTTAAAGTATACCATTAAAAAAAATAAAGTATACCATTAGTGACACTGAGTAGGCTTCCCTTGTGGCTCAGTTGGTAAGGAATCCGCCTGCAATGCAGGAGACCCCGGTTTGATTCCTGGGTCAGGAAGATCCACTGGAGAAGGGATAGGCTACCCACTCCACTATCCTGGCCTGGAGAATTCCGTGGACTAGTCCATGGGGTCGCAAAGAGTCTGACACGACTGAGCAACTTTAACTTTCAATGACGTTGAGCATTGAGTCCGTTCATGGTGTTGTGCACTCATTACCGGTATAAATGAAGAACTGTTAGGTGTCATTTAGAAAAATAACAGTAGTTCGTGTTCTTTGAAGAAATTTTAGAAAATATGAGTACAGTCTTGCTTTATTTCATCTACAGTTTTTCTACACTCTGCATTTTCACATAATTGGGATGATAATAGTATAATTTTTATATCCTGATTTTTTCTTATCAAAAGTAGAGTTCCGTGTTGTTATAATCTTGTCGTCAACATAGCTTTTAATTGCTGTATCCTGTTCCATCATGGGGCTGCATCTGAGCCATTTCACGTAGCATTAGCCATTTCACTGTAACCCTCGCAGCAGTAGCATTTATCCAGCACTTAGATGTCTGTGTCCGCGTCACGCCAGGCTCTCTGCTGCACACTCTGTGTGTGTTACCGTCTTGTTTGTCGTATCAGCCCTCTGCGGCGGGCAGTAGCATCGTCTCCTCATGGGCGGTGACGCTGAAGCTCAGATAATGAGCCCAAAGGTCCCACACGAGCGGATGAAGGAGCTTTGGGGTGATCCCAGGCAGCCTGTGCTCTGTCCGTGTGCAGCCTGCCTGCGTGAGACCCACACAGGGTCCCGGAGGGAGACTGAGCGTGCTCAGTCAGGAGAGCAGGCTTCCCAGGGTCCCTTGGAGGGGGTCTGGGTCTCAGCTGCAGACCACCCCTGTGTTCTTCCTCTCAGCATGACTGATGGAGCGCAGCAAGCCTTGAGGAGGACCATGGAGATCTACTCCAAGACGACCCGCTTTGCTCTCGCTTGTAACGCGTCAGATAAAATCATAGGTGAGCGTCAGCTCTGCATGGCTCGGGGTCCATGTGGCATTCACATGGGCTCTTCAGCAGCAGAAGAGAAGGCGTGGTACCAGATGGGGGCGTTTGGAGAGTGGAGACGGCTGAGGTTTGTGGAAGATTTAACGTACGAGGGTCAGAGGTGTACTGTGACCTCAGCGGGTGGCTGAAGGGTCTGCCTGGGCAGGCAGAAACGATGAGTCAGAACATTTTGAGGAGAGCCGGTAGGGCAGCAGAATAGGATGGATCAGAAAGAAGCCCACCGGGGACTTGGAGATCATGGAGTCGCCATTGTCACAGTCTGAACCACCATTCAGGGACAGCTCCCAGAATTCCGCATTCGTCCGCCTGGCGGTTTTCATGTGCGTCCGAGTCTCCCAGGGAAGCTTAAAGAAGCCGGGCAGGTGCCCCGTGCTCACCCCCGACTGGCTGGGTGGTGACCTGCCCAGAAGGGCCCACACACACAGTGTACAGGGTGGTGCCGGAGCTCAGCTGGGCTGGCAGTGACCCTCCTGCAGGCTGTGGCGCGTGCATGTCTCTATCCTCGAAGATCTTTTCCCCTTCCGGGAAGGGCCAGCCCAGGCAGTGCAGGCTGGGGCCTTTACTGGTTGATATTTGAAGTCGATCCCTGCTTGCCGAGTTCCCCTTAAGCACGTGCTGGGTGGGGGGAGTGTTGTCCGCCCGGCTGGGCCACAGGCATCGTGCGGCCGCTTCCCAGTAACTAAAGGACCGTCAGCGTCCCGCTGTGCATTGCCCCGGAGCCTGACTCCCTTGCCGTCTGGTCCAGAGCCCATCCAGTCCCGCTGCGCCGTCCTCCGCTACACGAAGCTGACCGACGCCCAGATTCTCGCCAGGCTCCTGAGCGTCATCGAGAAGGAGAGTGTGCAGTACACGGACGACGGCCTGGAAGCCATCATCTTCACCGCCCAGGGCGACATGAGGCAGGTGCGTGCGGCTGCCGCTCCCGTCTCCCAGGCTGGCCACACCCCTCGTTTTACGGGGAGAGGGAGGTGACTGCTGCACAGGGACGAAAATAGACCAGGGGACGTTGACCCAATGCACTGTAGGGGGCCTCGGGCCTCAGGGGAGCAGGCCTGCAAGGAAGGGGTTAAACGTGGACTCCGGAGAGGAGAGCGGGGAGGGCAGAGCCTCAATAGTCCCCCTGGCCCTGTTTCTGTTCCTTGGCAGGCTTTGAACAACTTGCAGTCTACTTACTCGGGATTTGGCTTCATCAACAGTGAGAATGTGTTCAAGGTAAGAGCTGGCGTGGCCATCACAGTCACCAGGGCAGCGTTTACCTGCCGGGGCCGGTGGAACCACCCAACTTTCACTTAGGTGGTGAGAGAAACAGCCCAAACCTGGTTCTGCTTGCTGGAGACAATGCAGACAGCACGTGAAGACCTTGGTTACCTAGGATGCTCAGATACGGGTCTGCCAAGGCTCCCCCTTGGATGGGCCCTGCCCACCCCTGACGGGCCTTTCTTTCTGGTTTGGGCAGGTCTGTGACGAGCCCCACCCCTTGCTGGTAAAGGAGATGATCCAGCATTGTGTGAGCGCCGACATCGACGAGGCCTACAAGGTGGGTCTCCTCGCCCTTTCCTGACTCAGGGGAAACCTCTGGCTCCTTGAGAAGGGCAGAGGGGGTGCCCCCTGGGCTGGGCACTTTACTCCATCTCATTCTTAACTGATGCTAGGAGTTGGGTATCCTCTAACTGATGCTAACTGATGCTAAGATTTGGGTACCCTCTACAGGTGAGAAAACTGGCTCAGAAGCTAGACGCCTTACTGTAAATCACATAGCTTAAAAGTAATCAACCTGGAATTCAGCATCATGCCTTTCTACTCTAATTAGATTCTCTATAAGAGGAATTTGTCCACCAAGGACATGAGGAAAGAACAGCCCAACTCCTCGCCTATTTTTTTTTTAATGTTTATTTATTTGACTGTGTTGGGTCTTAGTTGTGACATGCAGGCTTAGTTGCTCCGAGGTACGTGGGATCTTAGTTCCCCGACCAACTGTTGAACCCGCATTCCCTGCACTGCAAGGCGGATTCTTACCACTGGACCACCAGGGAAGTCCCCCACTCCTTGCTCTGTAGAGAAGCCAACTTCCTTTCTGTGGAGGGGAGCTATCTTCTGAAGAGCCTGGGAATGGAATTCAGGGACCGAGAGCCTGGTCCTGTGAGCCGATTCCAGGGGTGTCATTGAGGTTCAGATGGCCCTCCAGTCCACCTGGGGGCAGTGCTGGGATCTGAGGCCATTGGTCTGATTGCAGCCAGTTTCCTTCTTCCTACTGCCACCAAACTAAGCTAGAAATTGACTGGATTTAGGGCAGGGCTAGACCTCAGTGGTCAAAAATTCACCTGCCAATGCAGGAAACGTGGGTTCGATCCCTGGACCTGGAAGATCCCCTGGAGGAGGAAATGGCAACCCACTCCAGCATTCTTGCCTGGAGAATCCCCATGGACAGAGGAGCCTGGCGGGCTACAGCCCGTGAGGTCACAAAGAGTTGGACATGACTGACTGAGCACACACGCACGCAGACCTCTCGTGAAATGAGCACAAGGCCGGGAGACTGAGGCAGACTCCCAGGCACACAGTCAGGAGGGAGCCTTCAGATTTATAGACATGGAGCTTCCCCAACCCTGAATGCACCCCAGGGAGCCAAGGCAACTGACTCCAGGCCCTGCAGCTGGGTGGGGTGGGGTGGGGGTTGGAACTGGGGCCTGTGGCTGAGAAGGCAGGAGGCTGCGACCTCTGTGGTCATCTCTGCCCGGGTCAGGATGTGTTCAGGCCTAACTGTGCCGTGAGTGTGTGTCACAAGTGACAACTCAGCATAGCAGTCACTCCAGGGTGCTTGCTGGGATGATTAATAAGGCATTTTAAGAGCCTTGGAGGGAGGGGACGTATGTATACCTGTGGCTGATCCTCATTGTTGTATGGCAGAAACCAACAACATGTAAAGCAATTGTCCTCCAATTTAAAAAAATAGTAACACAAGGAAAGGAAAAAATAAAAGAGCCTTGGATTAAGACGTTACAGGGCACGGTGGTGGACCTGTCTTGCAGTAGGGTTTAAAACATTTGCAGTATTCTCTTTGCCTGCTGGGAACATGGATTACCCTCCCCACCCCCCACCCCCGCTGTAAGACCTAAAGGGCATGGACCTCCAGCCGGGTTGCCCCGTCGGTCTGATTCTCAGAAGCACCTGTGCTGTCTTGGATGGTCTGTCCACGCCCAGCCGTGTTGACGGGCCAGCCCTGGTTTGGGTTTAGCTGCACCCCGTCCCCCACAACGTACCCTTGTCGTCTGCAGTTACACGGCCTCCACGTGGTTTCTTTTGTCCAGATCCTTGCTCACCTGTGGCATCTTGGCTATTCCCCAGAAGACATCATCAGCAACATTTTTCGAGTGTGTAAAACCTTCCAGATGGCAGAATACTTGAAACTGGAGTTTATCAAGGTCAGTGAGAGCAGAGCAGTGCCTCTCCTCGCAAGCATGTGGGCCACGCTGAGGTTTAGTTTCACTCACAGGCCAGGCGCCTGGAAGATGCTCAGTCAATGAGAGGTCGTCCCAGGGGCTAGAGGCTTGTTTACGCCAGTCCTGCCAGGCAGTGACCTAATGTTCCCTGGGATGGCTGTGTTCATGAGAGAGATATTTATTTACTTGTCATGTAAGTGACATGTAGTTTAAATAAGAGTAAAATTCAACCTCTTGGGTGCATTCTGTTGACAAATGCAGTCTGGCTTTTTTTTTTTTTTTTTTTTTCATTTTCTTAGCAGTACCCATCAAAGAGATTCCCAGGTGGCTCAGTAGTAAAGAATCTGTCTGTCAATGCAGGAGACACAGATTTATCCCCGGTAGGGAAGATCTCCTGGAGGAGTAAATGGCAGCCCATTCCAGTACTCTTGCCTGGATAATCCCATGGACAGAGGAGCCTGGCAGGCCACAGTCCATAGGGTTACAAAGAGTCAGATATGACTGAGCAACTGAGCACGCATGCACCCATTAAAGAACTATCAGTATTCTTTTAGGAAACAAGATGAACTTCTCAGAGCTCATTTTCCAGCTGGAGTTTGAGTTCCCTGCATCAATTTTGAGCAAACCTTTGGTTCAGATGTTCAGGTTTTAAAAATTAAAACTCTTCCCTCACTTATTAACCAGATTTAAGTTGGATTTTTGTTTCCCCCCAGGAAATTGGATACACGCATATGAAAATAGCAGAAGGTGTGAACTCCCTTCTGCAGATGGCAGGGCTTCTGGCCAGGCTGTGTCAGAAGACAATGGCCCCAGTGGCCAGTTAGAGCAGAAGCCTCTCTTGCTGGGTTACGAGAGTCCTTATTGCTGAGAGTCACAGCCTTTGGTTCGGAAAAAGTGATGCCCTGGGCCGACCCTGGAGCACATCTTCCTGGTCTTCACCTTGCTTCCAGCACATCTCCCCTGCTCCTGGAGTGTTCACACTCAGCCTCAGACTCACGATGGGGTGAGAGGGTGGGAAGGGACCCTCCAGGACACGGCCCCCGGTCTGTGCTTGTGTTGGCATTTTACTAATAAAACCTTACAGTTTTGTGGCAGAAAGGTGGCAGTGCCAGGCCACAAGGAAAACCAGCTTCCTGTCTCCGTGTACACCCCTAGCGTCCTGCAGGGAGAGGGGTGGTTTTGATAATAGACTGGACAGGCTAATCTCAGTTTTTCTAGAAGCCATAAGGACAATCCCACAGGGTGAGCCTGGGTTTGCTGTAATTTCCCAGCCTCTCAGAGCAGCCCAGAGCCCTGAGTCCTTCAGAAAGGGCTTGGCAAGAATCACCGAGGAGCGCTTCCCTGGCAGTCCAGTGGTGGAGACTTTGCACTTCTACTGCAGGGGGCACAGGTTCGATCCCTGATCGGGGAACTAAGATCCAGCATGCTTTGAGGGGCAGCCAGAAAAATTTTAAAAATAAATAAACATAAATTTTTTTTTAAAAAGTCAAAGAGGAGGATAGTGCAGATAGATGCAGAGGAACTTCCCTCCAGGTCACCTTTTCCGTGTAGCTGGGTGTATCTGTTGCTTTAGAATTTCCCAGTGATTTTTGTAGAGTTGCTTTTTTGTTTGTTTATTGGCAAAAAGCTATTTTTCCCCATGTTTAAAAATTATGGAAAATAATCATTGTAGATAATACAGAGAATGATATGGTGAACTTTCACATAACTCATCTTAACAATTTTACCAACACGTTCCCGTCTTGTTCTTTCTGTATTCCCGCCCAGCAGCCCTACCACCCCACTCCCAGGTTGTTCTGAAGCAAATCCCTGGGTGGGGTTAGACATGCGTCGAGACCACGTTGCTGAACCGTCACAGGAAAGCCTCCAAGGTCACTCACTGGCTCTTTGGGTTAGGGTTTTGATTATGACGGGGAAAAAAAAAATTAAGGTCCTCAAAAACTGCAAGCAGAAATTTTACAAAATACTTCAGCACATCTTCTCAATCTTATTTATTCATTATTATGAATTTTTTGGCTGCACCACGTGGCTTGCAGGATCTTAGTTCCCTGACCAAGGGTCGAACCCGGGCCCCTGCAAGGAAACACTGACCATGAGAGAACTGCCTGCCTCAGTCTTTTTGTCTGGAGCTTTGGGATCCTTGGGAAGCAAAGGGATACCTGCGCCCATTTTTTTAAGTGACACCCCAGCTTCCCACACTCCCACCCCCCGCTGGAGCCTCAGTGCAGCCCTGTCACACCTGTGCTCAGGCCTAAGCTGTCCTCCCCGCAGGCGAGGCCGGGCTGCAGGGCGTGAAGGGGCTGCCAACAGCTGTGTTCTAGATGTTTCTTCCTCTAATTTCCTAACTTGCAGCATTAACTTCTCATGGAAAGAACTGATGAGACATCTGGAAAGAGGTTCCTGTTCCCAGCCTCCTCTCCAGATCTCGGAGTTTTGGGGCTGCTTTAAGTATTTGGCTGCACCAGGTTGCAGCGTGCCGGATCATCCATCTTCGTTGTGACAGTATGCAGGATCTTTAGCTGCGACTTGTGAACTCTTAGTTGCAGCCTGGAGGATCTTTGACGGCAGGGATGGAACCCAGGCTCCCTGCATTGGGAGCACAGAGTCTTAGCCACTGGACCACCAGGGAAGTCCTGTTCTATGAAACAAGTCTGACCATCTCCTTAGAAGGTTCTAGTGAGGCGGAGAAAGCAGACAGGAGAATCACTGCTTTTAAACTGGAAATGTTTATTGAGACGTTTCGGTCGGAGGAGGCGCTTTGTCTCCCTGATTCTGGCTTTTCTGAGGCAGAGGGTCCCACAGACTCCCGTCTGTCCCATGAGACGGTCATGTCCCTGCCCCGTTGGCTGGGGCCCCAGGCTGCTCCTCCCCGCCTGCCCCTTCCGCAGTCTGCCTGCAGCGGACGCTCCCGCCAGAGGCTCGCAAAGTTAGCTGTGGCTTCATCTCTGCTTCAGTCACCCGAGGCCCAGAGAAAGGAGCGCCGGGGCACCCCCAACTGTTGAAGTACACGTAATGCTTACAGGAGACAATTTATTACACAACCTCTACCCTGAAACGCAAAATATTAAATACGACTCCACCTGCATAAATTAACTGTACAAGCTTATCCATCACGAAATCCCAGCAACCAATGTTAGTAAGCAATTTGGGATCAAAATCTAAAGCAAAAAAAAAAAAAAAAGGACACGAACACCCATGTAGTATGATGTTTTCAATAGGGGTAGAGGGGATGCGGCTGCCCTCAGTTCTGGTCACGGGACCACCGCCAGAGCCGCCCGACCCCGGGCTCCTCCTGCCTTGCCTGTGGGAGCCGGTCAGAGGTTGGCTCCACATAACTGTCCTTTCCCGGGCTGGGTGCCCCGTGGCCAGCCGGCTGGTCCTCAGGACATGTTGATGCCCCTCCCAGGAGTAGCGGTAGGGAGTGTAGAAGTTGAGCGGCTCTGGAGAAGGGATCCTGGGGAGGCGATAAATGGTTCCCTGGCTCCTTCAATGAAGAGCAAAGGTATTTGTTAAAGAGGGAAAGGTTTGCCTGGCCTGATGCTTTGTCCCCTCGGCCCCGGGAGGATACACAGCGATGGTCAGTGAGTAGAGAACCTGCCCATCAAATGAGCATGTTTCTTATTCCAGGAGCCAGGAGCTTCTGCCTCTTTTTTTTTTTTTTTAGGCTGGGGATCTTTTTTTTGAAAGGCTGGGGATCTTAGTTCCCCAGTCAGAGATTAAACCCCCATGGAAGCTCGGAGTCCGAACCACTGGACCACCAGGGAAGTGCCTGCTTTCTGTTTGAATTCCTGAAGGGACTTGACCAGGGGTACCAGGCCCTAACTCCACTCTCCAGCCTTGCCTGGCGGCCCTTCCACCTTGAACATCGGGATTAGGCCTCTCCAGCCTTGTCGGGCCACTCTGGACACCAGCTTGTGGCGTTCAGACCTTCTTGTGTGCGAGGTCGAGGGTGTATATTCCAGCCAGCCGTAGCCCGACTCCAAACTTGAAGCTCCCCGTATCATTTGTCAGACAACATACTCTAATTTCTTTCCTCTTAGGAACCTGCACAGCCTCTCTCCTCCTGCCCTCTCCCTGAATCCAGACGCAGGTCTCTTAACTCCTTAACTCCTTACTTCGTACAACCTCCTGCAACCTTCCTACACCTCCGCCAACTTAGCAGGCCCAGACATACACGAGCCTTCCCCACAAAACCCGCGCTGCCTCTCACCTCCCTGACCTCAGATGCTGATAGTGATGCCCTCGCCTTTGACTCGGGAAAACCCCCCAGGCCTCCTCAATCCTCGCTTCACCTGGCCGCTGACACGTGGCGCATCAGGGAGCCCCTCCAGCTCCACAAGCAGGGTTTGCCTCCACCGCAGCCTCCCGGCTTCCTGCCCGAACACACTGGCGTCCCTGCCTCCCCTGTCCCCTGTATTCATGGCAGTGATACCTGAGAAACATCAAGTCAACTCTTCCCCTGCCGAGCACATCCCCCATCTCAGAAAAAACCCAGCTGCTGGCCCTGTCCTCCACCTCTGCCACGCCCCCATCGCTCTGTTCTGTTCCCCTCCTGTTTTTGGACTCAGGCTCCGGTCGGGGTCCTTCCCTCCCCCAGAAGGGTGAGGAGGGGTGCTCTGAAAGACTTCTCTGCTTCCCAGCTTAAATGACGGCACCCTCCCCACCCCCATGTTCCTCCTGCCTCTCCCCACCCCTAGCATCCACTGCTCAATTTCCTTTCTCCCCGCCCCTCTCCTCCCTTCCCTTGTCTTGCCTCTCCTCTTCCAGCTAGTTCTCTGTTTTCCTCTCTCCCACCAGAATGGAAATCCTAAGTGGACAGGGATTTGTGTATCTTCTCTTTACCACTGTGTCCCCTGCCCCTAAGGCAGGACTTGCCCCGGCAGATGCTCCCTAGGTGCTGGGTGAATGAATGAACCGTGGGCTCTGCCCTTCGGGCTTAAACGCCTGTGGCTGATCCTATTGCTGGTTTCTCAAACAGCCCAGGCGTGCCCCCAGTGACAGGCTTGCCCGTTTCCCCCAGATCGGGACTTCAGGCAGCCTTTCCAGGGCCCTCGGGTCGACTCCCTCCCTCCCAGAGACAAGGCCTGGGCTCCTACATCTCCGCGCTTGTGTGTCCATCCCCTCCTCCACACACTCTAGGTGGGGGCTTCGGCTCTCCTTGGGGGGCGCCAAGCGATGGTGTGTGAGCACTTGGCACCATCACCGGCCCCCCATCCCGCCCCATCCCTGAGTCCAACATGGGCAAGTCATCCTGGTCCTGCTTCTTTTTTTTTTTTGTGGCTACACCACGTGGCATGCAGGATCTTAGTTCCTCGACCAGGGATCAAACCCATGCTCTTTGCAGCGGAAGCACGGAGTCCTAACCACCAGACGGCCTGGGAAGTCCCTGGCCCTGCTTTCTGTGCGGGTCTTGCGTGTCCCATCTAAGATGCAGGTCCCAGTAGCTCCACGTTGGAAGTGAGGAAATGGGTCACGGGAGGTTAAATCACCCTCCAAGGTTGCAGAGGCCCACCCAGACTCACTAGCCTGCCCTGCCTAACACCCCCAGGGCTGAGACTTTGTGTCTGCTGTAAATATGTCACCTCACCATGCCAGCCACAAGAGTTGCGGGTGGGCAGGGACTTGTCGGGAGGTCCAGCGCCCCAAGAAGCCACCCCGTTTCAGCACCCATTGGTGCCGTCCATGGCCCCCACTGTGGCTCCTCCAGCCCCGGCTCTCTGCTTTTCCCAGGGGATGTGGTCCCCCCACCCCCGTGCGGCCCACCAGACTGGACTGTACCTTCCTCCGGGTCTTCCCTAGGCTTCGGTGGCTGCCACGTCCCCGTTCACATAGTCGGGCTCCCCGTCCTCGTCTGGGCTTCCTGCCAGGGAGAGCGGTGCTTCCCGCAGGGCTGACTCTGCGGATCCATGAGCAGATGGTCAGAGGGTTCACACGGACATGCTCAGCCCAGCCCTGTCTCCGCAGGAGGTACCACGCAGCCCACGGGAAAGGCACACTGGGTGGTGTGTCCGTCCCTTCCCCTCTGCCATCTGCCAGCGGTCTGTCCTGCCTGGAGCAGGGCAGGTGCAATTCCATCCAAGCCACTGGATGGGCAGTGGGCCAGGAGGACCCGACCTCAGAGGCCACGGTGCTCCCGAAGGAGGTCCTGCCACGGTCAAGCTGCTGCAGCCACTGATGCACCAGAAGCTTCGCTGTGGGATCAGCTCGACAGGCCTTGGGGGAGCCCACCTGGCCTCGTCCTCCCAGATCCCCTAAGCATCCGTCTCTACCCCTCCCCCTGACGGTGTCCCAGGCTAGGGTGCCGCCCCACCCCGCCAAATGCAAGCCAGCTGAAGGCAACCATTAGGGAATGCCTGGGCTCCGGCCACATACCCACGACTCTCTTGGACTCCCGCCACTGCTGGATGGACGCCGAGTTCTGATAATCCTCAGACCCCTCGTCCCCTGCAGGGAGAGCACCCGGACAGGGGCTGGGGAAGGGGCAGCCACCGCGGCCACTCCTCAGGCCAGCGAGGTGCCGTGGCCGCCCCTCTAGGGGGGCAGCCTGCATCCTTCACGTGCTTGGCAGGCCATCGAGGGAGGGAGGGAGATCCAGGGACTGACAGGGCCTCCTCCCGGGACACAAGGTCTAGTACTGGTGAACCCTGCAGCGGGGGCTCCAGACCCCAGCAGTGCAACCTTACCTGATTCCACTCTCTTTGGCTTGCAGATGAGCACGTTCTCATAGGAATTGGTGTCATCGTCATCTGCCAGGGAAAGGGGAGAGGGTGGGGGCTGCTGGTGGGTCCTGCCCGACAAGCCTGGCCCTTCCTCCCTCCCTCTGTCTCATCAAGCCCTCTCTGGGTCCCACGGGGCCTTGAACATTCTCCTGGACAAGCTTCTTAATGGGCAGAGGCCTGTCTCCAGTGGCTTCCACCCTGGGCTCCTTCTATCTTTCAAGGCTCCCCTTAAATGCTCTGCGGAGGGGCAGGCCCACCATGGATAGTTAAGAGAAGGGAGACCCATCTCTATGTGGGCAAAGAGGGGCAGGCAGAGCCACTGGGGGCGCAGGAGACAGGAACCTGCCTAACCCTTCAGGCAGTGGGGGCAGACAGGATCCTCTGCTGGGGGGCCTAGGCTGGGTGTGGCATATCAGAGCCTGGTACCCTGGCTTTGCACCCCATCCCCACCCCCCAACGAGGAAGCTAAGCTGTAAACACCACCCTATCCAGCTTCCATCTTTGTTGAAGAGGCTCTGAGAAGTGAGGGCTTTCCCCCCAATATAGTAGTGCAAGGGGTGAGAAGAAGACCCTCACTCCCACTCCAGCTCGGCCTAGGCAGGGGGCCCAGGCCTGTGCCCCCTTCAGCAGGCACTGCCCACCCTCTTGTTCTGTAAAGCCAAGATGTTAAGAGCCCAGGGTTCCAGCACCCTCAGGGCTGGCAGAGCTTGGCATCCTTCAAGCAAGTCTGCCACTTCCAGGGCCTTCCTCCAAGGACCCATGTATGCCCAGCCTTGAGGGGGGCCCTGAACGACAAGGGGACCAGCCTGCCCCTGGTCCCTGCCCTCAGCTCCCCTTCTGCTCCCGGACTCCTGCTCCCTCCCATCCCTGCCCTCCTCTGCATCTCAGCTCCTGCCTGCAGTGCCAGCCTCTTCAGTCCTCCTAGGTCCTCCGCAGTCCTCCCGAGTCCTCCCCCGGTCCTCCCCGTCCTCCCAGGTCCTCCTAGATCCTCCCCATTCTCCTCGGCCCTCCGCTATCCTCCCGGGTCCTCCCAGACCCTCCCAGATCCTCCGCGGTCCTCCCCCAGTCCTTCTCGGCCCTACTAGGTCCTCCCAGGTTCTCTCCGTCCTCCCGGCCCTCCCCGGTCCTCCGTCGGTCCTCCCAGGTCCTCCTCGTCCTCCCCTGCCCACCCCCCACCCCGCGCCCACCCCAGCCTCGTCCTCCGCGGTCCTCCCAACCCTCTCTAGCCCCGCCCCGGGGGGGTGGCTTCTGAAGCTGATCTGCCCTCGCCGTCTGCTCTGCCTCACCTTCCGCGGGCTTCTGGAACGGATCGTAATTGTAATAGTCCGTGGAGGTGGGGTCTCTGACAAGAAAACACAGACACAGCACCAGCTGCGGGGCAGGCCCGTGGTGCAGGGCGGGGGCTTCACGTAGGGGGCGGTGAGACCACGGCCGCCCCAGCCGTCGTCACTCCCCCGGAGCCCGTGGCGGGCTCGGCCAGGGTCTCACCCCTGAGCCACCCTGGGGCTGAGAGCGTGGTGGCCTGGCTCCAGCCACCGCGCCCGGTGACTTCAGGCAAGCCGCCTCCCGCCCCGGAACCTCAGTTTGCCCAACAGGGAGTCCAGAAGGAGACGTCCTGGGCGCCCTTCCTCTCGAGGGTCTGCAGACACAGGGCGGGCCCCGCCCACCCGGACGGCCACGCCCACCCAGACGGCCCCGCCCCCGAGCGGGGCTTCGTCTCTGCCCCGGCCTCATCCCCAAGAAGCCACGGGTCCTCTGAGGGGCCACGGTGCTGCGGGAGCCTGTCCGGGCCCGCGGGTTTCCAGGGCAGGAGGCCATTCTCACGGAAGGAAGCTGAGGGCGGGGGCGGGCGGGGGCGGGACGGAGGTGGCCAGGGCCCGCAGAAGGCCGCTCACATGTAGGCTTCCTCTGATCTGGGTCTGCTTCCTGCGGGAGGGGGCGAGAATTAAGCCGTGGTAGGGGCTGTGGGCCCGCACCACAACCCCCTCCTGCCCAGAACCCACCTACCTTTGCTGAAGTACTGGTACCTGGGGGATGAAGAATCTGGAAGAAAGTCCAGGCCCATTGGCTCAATGCTGGTTCCCCATCCCAGGCCCCTCCAGGTGTTTCCCAGTCTTCACACCTTCACATCTGCTCTGTCCCCTCGCCCCACTAGGCCAGCCATTAGGCCTCCCAGCAGCCCAGCTTGCATGTCTCTCCTCTGGGAAGGCCTCATGCTTACTACCTGTCCCATCAGGTATTCACCTGTCCCACCAGGTATTCACCTGTCTCTGTCCCACCTTGCCCCAGCCCCCACCCCTATGTCCCAGGCCACTCACCCTCGAGGCTGGGGGAGAACCGCAACAGCTTGTCCTTCCTGCATGGGAGTGGGGGCGGGGCTGAGAAGGGGCTGGGAGGAGGCCCCCTGGGTTCCTGGGGGTCTGGAGCCCACAGCCTTCCCTGGTGGGGCCCTCAGAATCAGAACTGGGGCTCTGAGGTCTGAGGAAGGAGCAGGATCTTGGCCTGGGCTCCTCCAGGTGGGGACCCCCCAGGGCCCTCCTCATTACCTCCCTTGGGTCTGGGTTTGGGGGCTCATTCCTACCTTGTCAACTCCATGTTGGAGGCTGTGTCCCCGGGCCAGGCCTCCCTGACCACTGCAAAGGATGAGGGGGTGTTGGCTGGGACCCAGACCAGCTGGTCGGTATAGTCCCTTCACCCTATCACCCCGCCCGATCAGGCCTGGCCACAGCCTCAGAACAATGAGGACAAAAGGGACTTTGAGGCTGACACCCCCAACCCTGAGCCCAGCCTGGGACCCGTCTGCCAGGGGACTCACAGGTGTAGGTCCGGGCCACTGCAAAGCTCTGCTGATTCTCTTGCCTGGAAACACAGAGCTGCGCTGAGTCAGGGCCTGGCCTCCCACAGCCCAAGGGAAAGAGAGGACAGAGGGACAGGGAGGGACGGACCACGGCGAGAGTGAGGGGGTGCTGCCAGCCCTCCAGGACTCAGATCTGGGGCTTCCTGATGTGTTCCTCGTCTATACAGCTCCCCCGCCTGCCCACCAGGTGCCCACCCTTCTCACACAGGCCTGGGCTGGAGCCAGCCAGACACATAGACGGTCAGGAGGGCCTGTGGCAGGGCTGGGAGAGCTGCTCAGGGACCTGGTGGTGACTTCAACCAGGAGCAGCAAAGAGGCTGCCCCCACCACCTACCACCCCAGGAATGTTTAAAATTCCTTTGAGAGCATGGCCTGCTGGAGATGTTCAAACATGCCATTTATTCCCCAGTAACTGATGAGGCAACTTCAGGGCTTAGCAAACACAGCTAGGCATCTAACTATCACTTTCTTCCTTTCAGACAGAACCTGATTTGTATTTAGACAGTAACATGCCCATCTATATGACTCTATTTACCAATAAGTGAATGACATCAAACTAAAAACCTTCTGCTCAGCCAAGGAAGTCATCGACGAAACCAAAAGACCATCTACTGACCAGGAGAAGCTATTTGCAAATGATATATCTGATAAGGGGTTAATGTCCCTTATAATATATAAACAACTCATAACTCAACAACCAAAGAACAAACTGATTAACAAAATGGGCAGAGGAAATGAATAGACATTTTCTAAAGAAGACTTATAAATGGCCAACAGATATGAAAAGATGTTCAACATCACTAATTATGAGGGAAATAAATGCAAATCAAAACCATGGTGAAGTTTCACCTTAGACCTGTTAGAACAACAATATTATCAAAAAGGCAAGAAATAAAAAGTGTTGGTAAGGATGTGTAGGAAAGGAAACCCTTGTGTGCTATTGGGGGAATATAAATTAGTATAATCACTATAAATTCAATATGGAGATGCCCCAAAATACTAAGGATAAAACTACCATATAATCCAGCAATTCCACTTCTGGGTATTTATCTAAAGAATATGAAATAACTAATTTGAAAAGCTATATATAGTGCTGCAGGAGACTCTTGAGAGTCCCTTGAACAGCAAAGAGATCAAACCAGTCAATCCTACAGGAAATCAACCCTGAATACTCATTGGAAGGACTATGCTGAAGCACCAATACTCTGGCCACCTGATGCAAAGAGTTGACTCACTGGAAAACCCCCTGATGCTGGGAAAGATTGAGGGCAAAAGGAGAAGGGGGAAGCACAAGATGAGATGGTTGGATGGCATCACCGACTCAATGGACTTGAATTTGAGCAAACTCTGTGAAGGACAGAGGAGCCTGGCATGCTGCAGTCCATGGGGCTGCAGAGTCTGACACAACTTAGCAACTGAACAACAAAAACAAAATATGTGCCCCTCTGTTTGTTACAGCACTATTTATGATAGCCAATACATGGCTATCATGTAAACATGTATCATGGAAACAATCTAAGTGTCCATCAACAGATAGATGAATGAGTAAAGAGGATGTGGTATATATACACAATGGAATACGATTTACCCATAAAAAGATAAAATCTTGCCATTTGTGACAATGTGGTTGGACCTTGAGGGTATCATGCTAAGTGAAAAAAGTTAGAGAAGGAAAAATTCCGTATGATTTCATTCATATGTGACATATAAAAAACAAACAAAAAACAAAATAAATGAACAAACCAAACAAAAACTAACTTGTAGATACAGAGAGAAGAGTAGTGTTTACCAAAGTTGAGTGGGCAAAATGGGTAAAGGGGATGAACTGTGTGATGACAGGTGGAAACTAAATGTTTGTTGGTAAGCTTGACATAGGGTATACAGAAATAGAAATAAAATATTCTACATGTGAAACCTAAATAATGTTCTAAACCAATGTTACTTCAACTGTTTTTTAAAAAAGACTATTTCCCAGCCTCCCTTGCACCTAAATGTGACCATGTAATTAGACTCTGGTTAATGAAATGCAAGCTTTCAGGAAAGCGCCTTAAAGGAGGCACTGCCAACTGGGATGCACCCTTTTTGTCTTCCTTCTTCATTCTTACTGCTGCATGGAATGCAGAGATGAGGGCTGGAGCTTTAGCTGCCATTTTGGCCTGTGAAGTGCCTTTGGGAATTAATGCCACCACTAAGGATAGTGGAGCAGATTAGCTAATTATAAAAGCCTTTTCGGTTTCTTCCATGGACCCGAATGGCGACCTGGTCCAGTCTTCCAGGAGCTCCTGAGGGGTGAAAGTGATCTGATTTAGGAGCAAGGACCTAAATCCATAGAAGAGAGTCTGGCATGGCTTCTCAGAGGAAATGATGCAGGAGCTGGGCCTGGCACAGGCTGGTAGGACTGAACCCAAGTGCGGTGGGGAGAGCCCAAGTCTCCTCTCTGATCTCCTCCCACTCAGGCCTCTTTCCCCACCTCCCATATGGGGAGGTTTAACTTGTGCCTCTGAGGATCTTCAGTTCTAAGATTAATCAGGGGCCTGGAGTGAGCAGGGATTAAGGGAGGAGGGGAGAAGGGAGATATTGAGGAACTTGCCTTGGGGCGGGGGTGTAGGCAGTGGGGAGGGCACCAGGGGAGTCCAGTCCACCCCCCAGTGGAGGTTGTGGGCTGGCGAGCCAGAGGACCAAGGGACCCCAAAAGGCTGGAAAGGTCCAGTTCCAGCCCCAGGAGCGGGCATCGATGGGAAAATTCTATTTTCAAATCTCACTGTGGTTTTTCAGTTGCAAAAGGAAATGAGAAGAGGGTGTGTGAGCGAGTTTGTATGTGAGTGACTGCCCAGGCGTGCAAGCAGGCCCTGTGTGTGTGTGAGAAGTGCATGCATGAATGAGTGCTGGGGGAGCCAGTGGGTGTGCGTGGGCGTGCAGGCCTGTGCACGTGTGTGCACGCAGGTCTCCGAGCGCTCCACCAGCACACTGCTGGCCGCAGCCCTCCTGCCGGGGTCTTGACACTCTGGGGTCGGTGACAGCGTTTCTTCTCCCCTGACCACTGCCCTGCTTCCAGCTCTCCTGCGACTCCCCTTGGCCCTTAGGACAAAGGCCAAGGCCTCTGGCACAGTCAAGACTGTCCTTCCTCCAAATTCAGCTCACTACTCTCATGTTCACTCCGGCCGCATCAACCCCAAGATGGTGTCCACCCCGGCCTTAAGTGAGTGACTGCCCACACTGCTCCCTCTCTCTCTGGAATGTCCCCCTTTCCCCTTCTGTCTCTCTTCAGATTCTTCCCACCTCCTCCAGGAGGCCTTCCCTGATCCCCCAAGTTTCATGCCCACATCCTGTCTCGGACCCAGCACCTGGTCCCTGGTCCCTGTCCCTGCAACGGGAGGGTGGGATTCCTCCGTCAACCCCCAACAGCACAGCCTAGACCCCACCGGGCTGGGGTCACGGTGGGGATTTCTGGAGATGCTCCTGGGCTCACTGGAGCGTGCTCCCCACCCTCCCCGACTAGTTTGGGGTAGGGTTTGGGCGGTCCCTGGGCACCCTCTCACCCTCCCCTAAGTGCTGAGGACCCACTGGAGCCCGGCATGGAGGAGGTGAGAGTGAAGGGGTGAGGGGTGGGGGTGGGGATGCCCGAGGGGATGCCCACAGGGACGGCCCCCGCCCAGGCAGCACACACAACATCACCAGGCTGGGGAGACACTCACAGACTCCTCTGCTCATAGATTTTCTCAGACTTCTTTGCACCTGCAAGAGCAGGACCAGATTAGCCAGTTCCCACCCCCTTCCCCCCCGGCCGCCTGCCGGGGCCAGGTGGGAGCTGAGATCTGAGGCCCAACCATCTCCCCTGTTGCCCTGGGCAGGCCTCAGACCGGACGTGGGGGCTGGGCCACTCATCACCGGGGAGCCACCTGACCCTGGCGAGGTTTGCTCACCATTTATTTAGGAGAGCGGAACGTGAAGGCATACATTGCAGGCAGCCCAGCCCCCTCTCCCCTCCCTTGTCCAGCACAATCCATGCGCAGACAGATGCCTTTGACCCCGGAGAACCAACACTCCCATTAAGTCAGACCCGTGGTCTTCAGAGAACGATCAGGGGCCAGGCCCCTGGGTTTCACTTCTGCGCCCCCAGGCTTATCTGACTGCCCCTTCCGAGCAGCCAGGTCTGGGCCTGAGCGGCTCTCTGGGGACACTGCCCACTCCTCCCACAAGCCCACGACCCCCAGGCTTTACCTGGGCGGGAGCAGCGCACGCACAGGCCGGCCGCTGCCCCCAGCAGCAGCAGCAGAGCCGCCCCCGGCCACAGCAGCTCTGTGTCCGCGCTCATGTCCACTCCGGGCCGCTCTTCTTCCTGCAGGGCTGCGACAGGGGGCACTGTGAGCCAGGGTGGGGGCCACAGGGACCCCCCCCCGGCAGGAACCCTCCCCTCATTGTCCCCTGACAGTCCAGCGTCCCCTACCCTCCCTGCTCTGGGACCAGACGGGGACAGAACCAGCCCTGTCCACTCATCTGACCCCAGACCCGTGCCATGGGACCCCCAGGGCCATCATCAAGTGCTGGAAGGTTCTGGAAACCTGCCTGTAAGCACACACTCCCACGCACACCTTCGCTTAGTCCACCCAGCCACCCCTCAAGGGAGAGGCTCACGCCATTTCACAAATAGAGAAACAGAAGCCCCAAATTCCACAGCTGCAAAGGGGAAAGGCAGGATTTGAACGCCAGGCTCCAGACCCTAGGGGCTTCCCAGGAGGTGCTAGTGGTAAAGAAAACCTGCCTGCCGATGCAGGAGGCTTAAGAGATCTGGGTTCGATCGCTGGGTCAGGAAGATCCCCTGGAGGAAGGCATGGCAACCCACTCCAGGATTCTTGCCTGGAGAACCCCATGGACAGAGGAGCCTGGCGGGCTGCAGTCCACACAGTCTCGCAAGGAGTTGGACATGACTGAAGTGCCCTAGCACGCATGCCTGCGCTCCAGACGCTAATGCTGGTTCTGCTCTTTCATCCTGTGAAGAAACCTCCTGCGAACCCAGCTTTGTTCCCCAAGCTCAGAGTCCACTACCCCTTCTACACCGGAGCCCCCATCCACCCTAGGGTGATTCTCTGCTCCCACCCAAGGCGGCCCGGGGAAGCTGGAGGTGCAATTTCCATTCCTAAAATGCCTGTCTATCCAGATGCTCTGGCTCCTCCTGTCCTGGGAGCTGGGAGGAGGGAGGTCAGGGAGGCTTCTTGGAGAAGGTGGGCCTGAGACCAGGACGGGGAGAAGGATGCCTGGGCAGAGAAGGACTTTGGCGGCCGGTGGAGGAAATATGCTGGGAGGTGGGGTCAAGAGGCCGCTCTGTGGTCAGTGGCCAGTCCCAGCCTTGGGGCCTCAGCGAAGCCGCCGGCAGCCACCTTGCAAGGCCTGCTGAGTGCAAGTTCAGCCCTCTTGAGGGGCCCTCCAGGGAGATTTGTTGCAACTCTAAAGAGATTCAGCCCCCTCGCAAAGGCCAGTGACAGAGGGCAGCAGGGGTCCTGTGGGGCCTGTGCCCCATGGCGGGCACGTGGAGCCCACGCTACGGAGCATCCCTTCTGTGAACACCAGTGCCTCTGGCCTCGGCCACCTGGGAGGAGTCTTCTCCCCGCTTCACAGCTGCGGGAGGTGAGGCTGAGGGAGACCCAAGCTTTGTGCGGGCCTGCCTCCTCTTTCCGGCTCCCCCAGAGGCCTGCACCACACCCCGCAGCCCTGCTCACCACCCCGAGCTTCCCGAATCCCCATGTCAAAGATGACAGGGAATCTCCATGTTGGGCCCAGCCTCTGTCAGCGGCCCGTCATGCAGAAGTCATCTCTCCTTCCCACAACTGCCAAGTGAGTCAGTGGGAATACCACCATTCCCAGACCTTGGGACCCAGTGGCCTCTGCATGAGGAGAGGATCCTCTAGGAGCCAGGGCACCGTCTTCCTGGGCCACATCCCCTCCACCCTCCGCAGACCTCCCTCTGGTCCAGGGCCGCCTCCCCTCGGCCCTCTAGCCAAGGCCCAAATCCATCCAGGGCTGGTGAGGTTGGAAGCCCCTGGTTTTGGACACGGGGGACCCCTACCTGTATCTCAGGGTCTCTTGGTCTCAATTTTCTCATCTGTAAAACTGGGATCAACCAGGGCCTTCCTCCAACAGCTGTGGGGAGGACACACACGTCCAGCCTGGACCACAGTCAGGGTTTCAGGAAGAGAAACTTGCTGAGTGTCGCACTTCCGGTCGGCTGGTTTGGACAGTTCCCTCGAGCGCCTGCCCCTGACACATTTATCTTTTGGTCGAGACAAAGGCTCTTTCTGCCCCCAAGGAGGTTTCGGGGTAGACCCATGGGGGGTTACTCCTGTGGGACAAGGGTCCGGCACTGGCCACCCCTAGCGTCTGCTTGAGAGCCCAGGGACAAGTCCACACGCTCCACTTGGCATTCGAGGCCCGAGGATCTGGGCTCTGAGCTCTGCTGTGCTCCCTCCACGAGGACCCCTGACCACCCGAAAGCCCTCTTGCTTCCCGGTTCTGCTATTCTGGGATGAGCTGCACAGTCAGGCGTGCCCCGAGTCCTGGTCCATCTCCCCCCGGCCTGGCACTGCGTGAGGGAAGGGGGCAGGGCATGAGAACACAAATTCTGCCCCAGCGGCTGAGTCCCGATGCCACCGGTCGCCCTGTTAAACGGGGGGAAAGTCTGACACTCAACCCTCGGGTTCGTCATGGGAGGCCCATCACTGAGACGACACCCGGAAGGTGTTGCTGATGGCTGGCGCGGGGCACAGCTGGCTGTGACCGCCGCGACTTGTCATCATCACGGTGCCCGCGGGATGGGAAGGGGTAGCTGCATCCTGGCTGGATGGCCTGCCCTGGACCGCGTGGGGCAACCCTGCCTGAAGCTCCCCCTGCCTGCTCCCCCAGACACGCAGGCCTGAGCCTGCCCCAGGCGGGGCATCGTGCTGGGACCCTGGGGGACCCTGGGATCTGAAGGCGAGCGTGGTTGTTGCCCCCAGCCCCGCAGCTGTCACAGAGCCACAGAGCATCACCTCGGAGAGGTCAGCTCCTTTCTTCTCCAAGGGAGAGGGCGGCCCAGAGAGGTGAGTATTCGCCCAAGGTCACGCAGGGGGGCAGTCACAGAGCCAAGACCCGCACTCAGGGCAGGTGGACTCTAATGCCTACACTCCTTCCCACAAATCCTGTCTTAAATTACATTTTTTTTAAAAGAATCACACAATATGGTTTTTAAAAGATTCATTTGAGGAAGAAACTAGGACTGCCTCTAGGTTCCCCGAGACCGACACTGACTCAACTCGTCCTCTGTCCTGTTTTCCCACCCAGGTCTGAGAACAGGCGGAGGGCGGAAGGAGAGGGGCTGGGCCCCCGCAGCACCAGGAGGGCCCCCAGGGGCCAGGCCGCACTGGGTGGAGTGGGGAGGGGAGGGGAGGGGAGGCCGCTGCAGCCCCAGGCCTGCAGGCCAAAATAGCAGAAGGGGAAGTGGGCAGTTTTCAGATGAACAAGGTTTGCAACAAACCCACGGCGGAAGCGCTCTCAGGGACGGGCTGAGCCGCCCCAGCTCCCAGCCTCCCACCCCCAGAGGCCCTTGGCGACCCTCCTGCCCAGCCCCCCAGCCCCCCTCTTGCTGTGGGTGGGGAAACTGAGGCCCGCCGGGGCCAAGGGGCAGGCTGCGGGGTGGGGATGGAGTCGGAGGCCCCCACCCCAGCCCTGGGAAGGCTTTATCTGCTGATCTCTGCTCTGTTTCCCCAAAGAACCTTGGCCTTCAGATGAGACCGACCAGAGGTCTCTAAGGGAGGTGTCTGATGCTCGGGTGGCTGCTGCAGGGCCCAGGGAGGCGAATGGGGACGGCCATGGCCTCCTGTTGACAGAGCAGGGCGCTGGGAGCACCCCGGGCCCTGAAGTTTCTCAACCCGCCCCCCCCTCCCCCAGCAGGGACCTGGTGGCCAGGCTGGGGGCTGGGTGGGAGCGGCGGGGATAGCTCTTCCTCCGGGCCTGGGGCAGGACCTCGGCCTGCTCGCCCGAAGCGCCTCTCCCATCCTCCCGTAGCTCTGCGGCAGGGCTGTTACAGTCCCATTTTACAGATGAAGAAACCAAAGCTCATGAGGCCTCGGGAGCCCTGTCCTGGCCCCTCAGCAGTCTCTGGAAGTGATGGGACCACCCCGGGCGCTTCCCAGGGCTGTGCAGGCTGGGCCGGGGAAGGCGAGGGCAGGAAAGGGGCCGGAGCCCCAGAAACAGCCGCCCCCGGGGTGCCGCAGGGGCTGGGCCAGTGGCCCCTAGCCGGGGGGCACCAGAACAGAGCTGGGGCCGAGGAAGGAGGTGCGGGGCGTCCTGGTTTCTTCCCGACCCACCCAGGAGGCAACCAGATGCTCCTGCCAGGCCACCAGGGCCTCTCCCATCCCCTCCGGGTGTCGGGGGGGCAGCCTCAGGACCCCGGGCTCAGGCCCGGGCTCCAGGCACCCCTGGGAAAGCCTTACCTGAGAGCAGGGGGGATCCTCACTGCGGCCACCTCATCCTGAGCCCACACACCTGCCCGAGCCGATGCCAACGCCAGAGACACTGGCGGGCAGCCGGCAGGGCGGCGGGTTTCCTGTCAGCCACTGAATCAGCCTTCACACATCCGCTGCTCTGCCGGACAGGCCCCGCTTGCAATAGACGGAGGCGGGGAGACAGACAGAGAGGCAGAGAGACATGGAAACAAACGCATGCAACATGCACGCTGAACACACACATGTGAACCCGTCTCAGAGAGGAAGAGACACATAGAGAGACAGGGAGGGAGGGAATGAAGGATGAAATGGGGGTGCTTGCACAGACACACACAGGCGGCCAGAGAGTAAGACACGGACACCCTGAACATGCACAAACATAGAAGTACACGTCCACACTAAAATACACACACACACGAAGAAAACCAGAGAGACAGACACATTCACAGAGAGAAAGAGATACACCTGCAGGTAAAGAAGGAGAAAGAAATACAGACACACAGAGACACATAGCGGATGCGTGCCAGGGCAGACATAAGGACGGCCAGAGGCAAAGACGGAGCCGACAGACACCGACACCAGACGAAGGGAGACCCAGGGCAAGGGCAGAAGGAGAGACAGGAGAGACACGCACGGCTGCTCCTCCAGGCCCGGGCGCCCTTGTACTCCCATTTTCCAGATGAGGCTCATAGAGGTGCAGAGCCGGCCACTCCCTCCACCTGCTGCCCCAGCATCCAGCCAAAGAGGCGAGGAGGTGCTGGACAGGTGGCTGGGTCCCCCAGAACCTCCTGTTAGTGGTCATCAAATAACCTGCCCAAGGCCACTGAACTCTCACCCCACTTGCTAGGGACCCCAGGGAAGCCCTGGGGGCCACACCTCAAACCCCCCCCCCCCCATCGGTCTGGCATCTCAGAGCCTGAGCTCCTCAGCTCTGGGCCCCTCTCTGCTGGGACGGGCTTTCTCTTCTGGTCCCAGTCCGGCCCAGCCAGGGGATGCTGGGAGTGCTGCCGGGAGGCCCAGTGGGAAGCAGAACAGAACCGCCAGGGCTGGGTGCTCACTGCTGCCACCCTGTGGGGGAGAAGGGTGGTGCGGGGACCTGGCCCTTGGGAGACTCGCAGACCTGCGGCTGAGAACCGGGGCTGCCTCCTTCGTTCCATGTGGGGGCAGCGCTGTGTGTAAGTCCCTTGGCAACTCTTGCAGGAAGACCTTCGTTTTCTTAGGCAAGCTGGAGGCCAAGAGGCTAAGCTGGATTTCAAGCCAGACCCCAAAGCCTGTTGTCTTTTCACCACTCATGAGTTCAGGGGCTCGCTGGGACTGCCTGCCTGACCCCTCCTCACCCGCTGGGACGTCTGTGTTGGTTTCCGTCCAACCTTGGGCTGTGTGCTTGCCCAGGTTTCTCTATCTGCAGGGATGGACAGAAGGTCCAACATGTCCAGTGGGAATGGAGCTCTGTTCCACATGCTGGCTTCTGTCAAGGGCCTTCTCATTCATGGAGGATGTGGAGTCGACTGCTGACTGCCAGCCAAGTCTTAGGGTCCATCCACAGTGGCACCCAGGATCCTCTCTGAGCCCATTTTCCATCTATAAAAACAAGGGTCTGTCAACCCAAAGACCCTTTTTGAAATTGAAGGGGAGGAGGAGCCACTCAATCTGAATCCACTCCTGAATCCAGGAGGATCCATTGCCCCCTTTTAGGCAATTCTCCAATTCCTCCAAGTTCTATTTTATTTACAGATCATTCAGATGTGAGTTAGATAAGCTTTTAACTAGGCATTTCAACCCCTCTTCACCATTAGACATTTTGTGTCAAGTTGTATAAATACTAGGTGCCCGCCCCTTTTCTTTCAATTCAATGGTTTCTGGTATTTTTTTTTAAGTTGTGACAAAATATATGTAACATAAAATTTACCATTTTTACCATTTCTAAGTGGGCAACTCAGAGACATTAATTATTCACAGTTTCATATAACCATCACCACTGTCTTGTTTTCAGTTTTCATCACTCCAAACAGGACTGTCTGGGTTTTCAACTCACAGCTGAATGTCAGTTGTGTGTACATTTGTTACAGAAGCAAGCTAAGTTCTAAGAACTTAACAGTTTTAATGCTGAGAATCTTCTGGGGTCATACATCCTTTAAAGGTTGATGGGAAGTGATGGATTTTCTTCAGATACATGCATATTGAGCAGAATATACAACATTCTAGAAGCCCTGGAGTCTGTCTATAAAGCTGTCTGCCACCCTCAACCTTTATGATACGAACAAGAATCACTCTTGCCCCCTCACGCCCAGGCATTCATGACATTTATCTTCGGTCATGAGCTCACTACCCAGCAGAACCAGGAATATTCCTTCATTCTTCTGCCTCCCCCCCAACTAAGTGATGTTTTTGTCATCTATGTGTATTTTTTTTAGCCTTCAAAGTACTTTTTAAAAATTGTAGTTGACCTCGTGTTGTGTAATTTTCTGTTGTACAGCAAAGTGATTCACCTTTACATACACATTTCTTAAAAAAAAAAATCCTTTTCCATTATGGTTCATCATAGGATAAATATAGTTCCCAGTGCTATATATAGTTAAGACTTTGTTTTCCATTCTGTATATAGGTGTTTGTAAAGTGGTTTTTTTAATGTATAAAATTATCACAGCTGTGTGGCTGTTATTTCTCTTGGGTGCATCTCTGGGAGAGGCCTAGAGTGTGGGACCACTCAACTTTCAGGCTAATGCTCATTTCAAATTAATTCCCACAGTGGCTGTACTCACGACTCTCATTTGTTAACATGTGAAGACCCACAAACTTGCCAGCAACTCGTCTGTCAGGCGTCTGGATCTTTGCTGTTTGGATGGGTATAAAATAGTACTTTGTAGGCCTGATTTGCAGGTCCTTGACTGCTAACGAGGCTGAGCACTGTTTATTTCCTCTTCTGTGAAATGCCTGTTCACTGTTGCTGCTTCCCATTTTCTTTTTCTCTTGACAATTTGCAGCAAATCTTCTTACACCTCATGTTTTTAGTTTGTAACGTCATTTATATTTTGAAACTTTTACTTTAAATGTGGTGACCATATTCTGTATTTCAAGAGTATAATACATGTGAGAGACTTCTACCAATTCCAAGGAATCCTCGTGCTACGTACAGAACACTTCTGTGACCTGGAAAGCATCTCTGATCTCCCTGCCTCCCTATCCCGCTTAGAAAAGACAAGTTTCCAGGCCAGTAATGATTTTATTGCCTTCTGTCCCATGGTGAACAGGTACAGGAAACATTTTCTCTAAGTTCCTGAACTGAAAACCAAAGAGCCCACCACTGCAAAGAAGCATGCTTTTGTTTGTATTTTTAATATTTTACAGTTAGAGTGTGGTTACAGATGTGGGAAGAGATTAGTCGTAGGTTATAATAAAATAAACAGTCTTCATTATTCTGGCTCATTCTCATGACAAAAAACTGCAAAAGGAAAACTCTTAGATACTAGATGTGTTTCTAAGCCTGTTAGCCTTGCTCAAATAAGAAAGTAACTCAAATATCTCAATGGTGTTAGATTGGCCAAGAAAATGCAAAAGACAGAGCAAAGCTCCTCACCAATAAGGGCAGAAGTGGCCAGGCCCAGGGGCCCAGAGTAGCCCGCTGCCCGCCCAGCCTCCCCTCAGGGGAACCTTCTAGGGTGATCCACTGCCCTACAGGCTGAGCAAACTGTTTAGGGAAGGTGGGGAAAACCAGGAGAGCCATCAGTGACATCAGAAAGCTTGGGACGAGATCTGTCGGTCTCCCCCCGACGGCCCTGGTGAGGCCGTCCCGCTTTGCAGACAGCACGCGGCAGCTGAGCCCGAAGCAGTTCGCAGACTCCATCCTTCTGGGGCTGGCGCAGCCCCGCGAACAGCACTGGGCCCCGTCAGGTCCCAGGGAGGTGGTCATCCTGCACAGTGAACCCTGTCATGGTGTGAGTGACCCCGCATGACCTCAACAGCCATTCGGAATTTGAAGACTGAAGAGAAGCAAAAGTGTACTCAAAGTGCAACTTGTGAAAAGAGATTAATTACAGTAGGGTTGTTTTAAAAATAAACAAAACAGGCATACAGTCTCTAGAAGTTGCATCGCACCATCTCCTGACAGCAAAATGCTGTTTCTAGCATGTCTCAAGCCAAGAGTGGCTTTACAAAACTCAAGCAAATCAGTTCTTCTTCTAGACTTAATCTCTACCAAAAAATTTCCTTCATGGAGAGAACCAGGCTAATCCTCAGCAATCGCAAATTGAGAGGGAGGATGAAGAAAAAAAAAAAGAAAAAAAAAAACAAAAAACAAATTGAGAGGGAACACTAGGTGACAACTTCAACGCCTTCCTTCTACATACAGCCCTCCTGACCACTGCCCTCTTTCTGCTCCCGGCTCACTGGGACCTCCCTGAAGGAACATCAGGGACAGGATGGGAAACTCGGGCTTCTGGAAGCCTGCTGTGGAAACTCGTCCTCTCCTGGGACCTGGGGAAACAATTCGGCCACTTGACAAAATGGACTGAGGCAAGACCATTCCTAGAAACCTGAACCCCTTATTAAAAGGGCCTCACTTGGCACTCTACTAAAACTGGTTTCTCTGAAGCCAGTTCAAGAATAGTAGAGAGAAACCAGATGTCAACGACCCATCTAAACCGACCTGTGGAACATTCACAGTTAGTACAGATATTTGTGAAACTGACCCTATTTATTCAGGTGCTTATTTTGGGGAAAGACATACCTTCGACGCAGGTACTAAAATGCTTCCCCAGGGCCTCTAAAAATGGTGCTTGTGAGAAGCAACCACTGCAGTTACAGCCATATCTGGGGGAGGCAGAGTCAGCTGCAGGCTCATTTCAATCACAAGAAACCTCTGTAAATGACTGGGAGACCTAGAGGATCCTTCCGAGGTCCACGGGCCCGCGAAGACAGAATCCTTGGGAAGGCTTCTCATCATGAGAGCTGGTTTTCAAGCCTCTGGCCACCAGTCCCAGGAAACCCCTCCAGGAGACCAAGTTCCACTTGCTTAACTCTGGGCAGAGGGTTTTCAGCCTCAGGGATGCTTCTGCTTCCCTCTGAACGAAAACACCAGCTGACATCAAGTCCTCTTGCCGGGGAGCAGCTGACGTCAACAGTTGCTCAGGCACTTGCTGGAACACACCCACCCTCCCCACTCATTTCTCCAGATTTAAGTTGCAATCAGGCTCTAACCGCAAGGTAGGCCAGTTCGGCACCTTCCCCAGCAGTCGGGCCTCTCCCAAATGCAGCTCGCAGCCCTGCACCTTGCCCACTGGGTCACAGAAATCACCAGACTACACAGCGGTGCCTCCTCAGCACACAGTCTGCGTGCCGGGAAGCAGCACCCAGCACTCACGTGAGGGCCACGCCGAGGATTACCCAGCCAAAACCTATGGCTACACCACGCGAGATTTGTTAGAAAAATTATTTTTATGGGGAAAAAAGAGAAAGATTGGCATCCCATTTCTAATCATTACAAGCTTCTTAAATAAGTTCACAAATCTTGTAACTTCTGAAAGCAAGAGGCTTTTGCCCACTGAACAGGACATCCTACTAGATCTGGACGTGACTTTCCAAATATAAAACTGTTAATTTTATAAGCAGCTAAAAAACAACTCAAAAAATAAAGACAAGCATTAAATATTACGTAAGGTTTTCTTTTATTTAAAAGATCATTCACAAAATACCATATCCATAGATTTACTTTCTGTCATATAGCTGAATGTGTTAAGTGTTTGGAATTCCATTCTTACATTTAAAAGTCAACTAGATTGCCCAGAAGTTTAGATGAATTTGTTTTTGTTCTTAATCTTTTCCACATTGAAGATGTAAGTAGGTCATCTGAAAGCATCAGGTTTGATTACAACCACATAATGCATGTCTTTCTTTAGGTAAGTATTGGTGTTACACAAATGGTTCTTATCTCAGAAGCAAAGATGACAGGTGGAAGGAAGGACAGGAGGCCGAGTTCTGTGAACTGCTGAGACCTGGGGACAAAGAACCGAGGGTGGCAGCTAACGAGGGGCGGTTTCCTAAGCGCACGGCCCAGGCCCGGCGGCCCCGGCCCTCCAGTCTTGCTGGTGAGGGTCTCTCTCTTCCGGGGCTCTAAGCCAAGCCCGAACTGCTCCCGGTGGAATGAACTGGGACTCGGGTGCTGAAAAATGTGTTCACACATAGGTGTCTGAGCTCAGAAGCTCCTGCCTAGCTGCCCGGCCCGGGGTGAGCGCTGAACACTCCACGTGGGAGCGAACGTCCTGAAGCTGCGGCCGGGCGGCCTTGGGCCACCTCCCTGTTACCTGACGGCTCTGCATAGTCAAATCCTCAATTAATCACGCGAGAGAGTAAAGTGCCAGATTCTAGGCCCATTTTCATTCCAAAATTAAGGGACGGTGGGAAGCACAGGACCCCACTGTGACTGAACACTGGGGGACAGGTAAGCACAGAGGGTGAGGCGGGACACACACTGGGGGTCCGAGAAGAAGCCGCGTCCACAGAGTCAAGCCCAGCACAGCGCCACCCCCTGCGGTCCCCAAAGCACCTCTGTGCCCAGCGGAGAGGCAGCCAGACAGCAGTTCACGACACCCAGCCACAGAGGGCCTCTCACACGGCTGGTGCCCGAGGGAGACCAGCTTGGACACAGTGCTGGCAGAGTGATAAAAACACGTGAGTGCAGCAGGGCGCTCAGCCTATCTCCTACGTGCACTCCCCACCGACAGTTTGCATCATTCTCTCAGGTTTTGCTGTTTGAAATGTGAGCCTCTTCCGCGTGAACAGCCCTCTGGGAAGCGGGTAGTGGAATCAGGACTACCTATAAATAGTTATAGGAAGGAATCTGCAGAGATCAACAGATACTTTATCCTTGTTTTGAAAGCAAGGTGTCCCAAACGCTGTCTGTTGATCACAGCTGACTAAAAACAAAGGGCTATCCAACATGGGACTTGCTTTCTTCCTTGGAAGCCACAGCAATACAGAACTCGACATGCAGGTCAGAAGAGAAGCATTGAGAAAACGCAAAGGAAAAGGCCGGTGTGGCGGAAGTAAAAGGAGAAAGCAATGGAGAGAAATGAGGCAGCACTTCAGCCCAGAGACGCCCACACGGCGGCCGCCTCTGTCCCTCTAGAGCAACACGTGTGCCGGAAGGAGACAAGGGGCGAGAAGGGAAGGGACAGAAGGAAAAGGGGAGGAGTGGCAGGGGAAAAAAAAGCACAAAACAGGCACCAGGTAGATACAGCGAAGCCAAGAATGTACTAAAAACCACTTGTTAACGGCTGACATGCACTCACAAGCTCTGTGTTTCCGTTGTAAGAAAGGAGGACAAAGGTCAGGCGCAGGAATGGTAACTGCAGGACTGCCGGTCCAGGGGGCTAGCCAGGCTGTGGTCTCGCTCGAGCGCCCCCCACACCCCATTCCCTCCCCACTGCAAGCTCATTCTTGCTCCTTGTGAACGACTTCCTCTCTGGGCCTGGCTCCCCCGAAGATGGCAGAGTTGGGGTTGGCTACTTGATTGAGGGGCGTTGCGACTGTTCGAGGTTTAAGCTGGAGCCGTGGTCTCTGTGCTCTTTCCTCTGGGGAAGGAAGCGCAGCGTGGTTTACAAAGGCGTCCTGAGAAGGCGCCCTCCTGCCGCCCGTTTACGCCTTACCCTCATACCTTCTGTTGGCTCTCTGAAATCCATATTGGACCCTCGAAGGGGAGGGCCATCTCTGAAACGACTTCCCATTGGGGGGCCTGTTCGCCGGTCACCTGGGCGACTCCCTCCCCGGCCTCCTAAGAAGTCATCCCTGAAACCTGTGGAAGGAGAACCACAAAGGCTTTTTTATACTCCCGCCTCAAAGCTGGTTATACAGCTGTGTGAACTGTTTGCGCTCCATTTTAAATTTAGTTTGTCCAGCATCAGAAATTCTTCCGAAATCAAGTGCACTCAAAACAGGTTCAAATGTGAATGTACTGGGCAATTTCAACACTAACAGACTTTTTGAATCTTAGAAGATTAAAAAAAAGAATCTTAGGAGAGAAAAATGAAACACGTGTTTAAGTTTGCAGGAGAAGCCAGTAAGACTATATCCTAAAAAGGGTAAAAACAAAACTCCTCAAAGCACATTTTATTGTTTTTGATTATAATCTATAGCTAAAAAAAAAAAAAAAAAAGGATAAACCTGAAATTTAGAAGTTACAATTTAGAATGCAAAATCACACACACACATACACACACAAAGCAGCTAGATGTGAAGACAAAATAAACACACGAAGTCACTTCTGGGTGACCACTCCCTTTTCCCAGTTTCTGCTGCCATTCAGGTGTGGATCATTCTAAAAGTAAAGCCCCCGTGTGTAAACAAAGCTGTCATCAGGCCCACTCCCTTCCCAAAGAGGGAGGCAGAGAGCAGGAAATGCACATCCAACCCACGCCTCTTCCAGCTGCAAAGAGCTTTCCCCCCAATCCTTTGTGCATCCACTAAAATAATTACCAACACCAAGTAAACTGCATCTTATTTAAAATTAGCGTAAGCTGCAACTGTCATCAGCGTGAGAAACATTTTCTCAATGGACTTTTAAGAACATTAAGCCTTATTTGTTTTGTAGTAAAGTCATTGGGGGGGGGCATATTGTTTTAAGATAACTTTTTTTAACAGTACAATCTTTAGCTTTCAATGAAATTTAAGATGGTGATTAAACAAATGCGCTTGCCCCCTCTGTTTAAGGACTACTTTTATTCATTCCAAGGATGGTGTCACTGCTCAAAGCTTTGTAGGAACTTATCCTTGAAGAAGGATCCTGAACTTGAGAAACAGTCTTCTGATACATTAGTCAGTCCGTCCCCCTTATTCACAGATTTCATGTTTGCAAATTTGTCTACTCACTAAAACTGATTTGTAATCCTGCAATCAGTACTTGGGGCCTTCTGCTGTCGTTCTGACATGCACAGAGCAGGGAAAGACTTGTCACCTGACACATATTCCCCATCGAATTACCAACAAGCCAACCCCACTCTGCCTTGACTCTGCTCAAACAAACGAGTGCCCTTTTCACAACCTATTTAACGCTGGCCTTTCTGCTCTTCTGTGCTGTTCGTCTAGTGCTCCAAAGACCAAGACAGCTGGGTATGCATTGTTAGAGAAACCTTTCTCAGGCAGGAGTTACAGCGCTGGCGCCTGTGAGCTCACCGTTAACCAACCAACTACATGTGTATTAAATAAGGCGATATTATCGACTGATTGACAAAAACATGACCAAAGGCTCACAAGACTGGGCCTCACTATGGCGAGTATCTCCCCTAGGAACAATGGCTCAGGATCTGCTAATTTGGTGTTTGCAAGAACCCAACATTGCGAAGATGGAGAATCAACTACCTTGAATAGTAGGTAAGGTTTTTATTTTTTTAGTCTTTTAAAGATAGCAAGGAATCTGTAAGTTGATCAAGCTACCTGAAACTCAGTTCAGAGACTATTTGTTTGAACAATTCCATTTTTTTTTTTTTGTAACAATACAAGTAATGAAAACAACTGTAAAAAGACCTAGACCCGCAGGAGCACTGCTCTGTGGGAAAACCTATTTGAGCGCATATAATCAAGTATAAAGTTCTTTTATGAAATCTTTTTTAACAACCAGAGCATTCACCATTCATTAAACAAGCTTAGTCAGTACTCAAACAATTGAGATTTTCCCCAAACTAAACTGTGAAGTGTACCTTTCCTCACTAAGTATGAAAGTAAATTCCCCTTTAATGAGATTAATTTTTACTTCAGGGTTTAGCATAAAATAAATCAGCTCACACCCACACTGACGAGGCACACAGCTACGACTGCTTTCAGTACTTCGTCCAGGGTCACGAGACAAAGTACAGCAGGGGAAGAAACCCGCCCAGCGAACGTTCACATTGAGTGACAACCTCATTTCAAAGCCTCTTCTGATACGGGCAACGGGAGAGAAAAAGCATGGTCTGACATTAACAACCATCTTTCCATCAAGTCTGAGGACAGATTTCTAGGAGGCACACTATCCATGAGAAACTTCTGAGTTTTCTTCACAAAGTTTAGTTTAACATACTGCCTATTTCTGGTTGACAAGGACCTTATTTGCTTTCTTCTTCGTATTTTTTGTATTGCTTGAATTTTTTTCTTGTTTTTAACAAGGAGCATGTGTCAAAAACAGACATCATTAGTTTAAAGAGTAAAAGAGGTCTACCTATACAAATAACCTACGCAGGACGTACTTCACCACACGGGCACTGCTGGGTTTAGAGTGTCACCAAAATACAGTATAGTCTACAATGTTTGGTAAGGTACTGTCTCTGGCTATATTCACTATACGTCTTGCTTCAGTTACAAAACCCCAAGCTCAGCGAGCAGTAGAAAGGCATTAGTTCCTCTGGTAACCTCCAGAGCTGGGAGCTCACTGTGCATTTCCTCAGTACCAGGGAATGCAAAACTGGCAGATGGGAGGCCACCACTCATCGAGCCACTAACTACATGTGAGGTGGCTCTGAGATGACGTTTGCTGCATTTTTCAATCAGAGACTAGCTTATACATAAAATTACAGGTTTACTGGATTATACTGTACTTTTATGAATAAGCTCATTTCTGATTGGCTATAGGACTTGGGGGTAATTAAATTATTACTTCTAAGAGAGATAAGTAGCCATCTGTTTAACTAAAGCAGTACTGGAAATAAATTCTTTAAGAAAATTTCGACTCCCAAGACCAATTCTTCCCACACTTACCAGTCACCTTCTACTGAGTTCTGTTCTGGGGGGGATGATAGGGTTGGGGGGAGGCACTAATGCTCTCCTCTTACAAGGTGGCCAGTGCAGAGATAATCTCCAGTTTATAGGAAAGAAAACAGACCTGTTCTTCCTTTTCTACCTTATGGTGACAATGGACATTTTGACCACATTATCAACTATTTTCATCATTAAAAAAAAAAAAAAGAGAGAGAGAGAGATGAGAAATATTCAGGACAGCAACTCTTCAAAGCCTGGCATTCAAACTGATCTCCTGAATCGACACAAGGAGGTACCCACAGGTCTGCTTCGGTGAGTTAAGAAAAGCCAATTATCAAGTGGACTATGTCCACCTTTAAGAAACAAAGAGGTCAACAGGACTACTTCTTACTATCTAGGGGGGAGCCACCAGGAACCATCAGTCTGAGGCTTTCTGTAAGCTTCTAGAACCTCCACACTACTTCTAGAAATAACACTACTCTTCCGTGCCGTACACACTAGACCCCACCAAGCAGAAAGACTCAGCATGAGATACAGGCATGTATAAGAGCAGCAGCAGGTAACAAACGCTGGTAACAGTTCAACCTGGCCTCGACGTAGAAGCTTTCAAGTCCTACTCCAAAACACTGAGGCTCTAACAGAGGTTTAATGCGTGCCTGGGTGCTTTTCAGGAGTTTCTTTTGTGAGAGGATCTAAAGCAATAGCCCCTCACAAGAACCATAAAACAACAGCAAGGTCACCAAGAAGATTAAGTGGTGACACTCTAAATACTGATACTGGAATTGACCAGGAATCCCATCCACCATGAGATTCTTAAGAGCCACTCATTCCTGAGAATACACAAAAAAGTTAAAGTTGAAGTTGATCATTCAATACAACTCATGTGATGGGAAGCTCAATGAAATTTTAAAACAGTTTTTGCTGCCAAAAGGAAGAAGCAAAAAAACACAGGCTTGCAGAAGCATCATCCACTCTTTCTGAGGTCTGACACGTTTTCAGAAGTTCACAAACACCGAGTCAGACCCACGAGGTAAGCGGTCTGCTATGACCTGAGAGACTTGCAACCAGGGGCACAGAGCGACTTTTACGTTCGGCTGGAGAAGAGCCAATCACCTCTGTCGTCTGGTCCACCTTTCCTGAATCCGAAGCCGCCTTTGTCTTGTTTTCTGCCTTCTGCAATGTCCACACGGAGTGACCGGTCACCCAAGAGCTAACAAGGGAAAATATGGTAAGTACTGGCAAGAAAAAAATCCAGTGACTAACACCACAAAGAAAACCGGAATATACTTACTGCACCATCGTATGTCAAGGCTTCCTTAAGGGAATCCACTTCATCAAATTCTACATAGCAGAATCCTGTAAGAGAAAACAAACCCTGACTTCCTCCAGGAATTCTAGGTTAGAGATACAGCGGGATCCTGTCTGTACCACTTCCCTACATCACAACTACCACTTTTGTTGCCTAGATGGCCACAGACGTGCAGAACCTGAAAGCGGATATTTTACTTTCTAATAAATAGAATTTGCCTGGAAGTCCTTCTTAATTATATTCTATCAGAAAGTCCTAACCAAATAGGTATTGAAATAGTAGCTACTTTTATAAAGCTTTACCTTTTAACCATAATATTAAAACCTTGCTTGGATCACTGAAGAGCTGTTAGTTCTGACTTCTGAATGACTTGAATACATCTAACGGGAGCTTTAAGACACAGATTTCAAACTGGATACTAAACATACTTTGGAGGAGTAATATTACACTGAAGGTGCCTCTTACTTACTGCTCAGGTAGTTGGTATAAAATCTGTTTTACAAAGCTAAAAAACACACCCTCTGCAACAAGTGTATCCTCTTCAGGAGGCTAATTAATTAAAGACAGCTAGTCTAGGTGCTTTATTGACAACCCGAGTCCTTGATGCTAGATTCTGACACAGGCCTGTAAACGGGACACTCCTGGCAGAGGAAACCACATGCCCTCTCCCCTCACTTAAACCCCTGCACCAGCCTTTCCTTCTACTTGCCCCCGCCTGGCCCATGCCCTTTCCTTGCCCCCAGGTTAAATCTGGGTTCAGACCCACCCCTCCTGACTGCCCCCTATGCTCACACTGCACCTGCAGTACCCCCCTCCCCTCCCGCATGATTACAATTCACCCTCAAACCCCACTAAGATGGCAAGCGTTTCTAAAGCCTGGGTCCTAACTTCTGTTCACCATCTGCTTACACAAAGAATGGCTGGAGAGTCCCCCGTCCCCAACTTGGACCGCACCTCTGTATCCATGCCTTTCCCAAGTGGATTCAATGTTTAGAGGAACTGAGAAAACCACTTCTAAACTCAAACAGGCAACAGCCACCTGGTCACTCTAGAGCTCACACGTGCCTACACTAGAGCTGCCGAAGATGCCCTTGCATGAGACGAACTCTTAAAACTCGCTGCCACTGGCTCGGCCCTGAGGCTGGCTTCACCCTCACATTTGCATTCCCCTCAGATAAAATGTTCCCAAATAGGCTGAATGCTAACCAAGTCACAGAAAGAAAACCCAGTGGGAATCATGTTTTATGGTCATGTCCACAGCAAATGAGAAGTTGCATTCTAAATGCCTTGGTAATGACCACTTACCCACATATTTGTACCTTAAATTTGAATTCTTAACGCTTCCTCGCAGTGTGACTTACTTCTACAAGCTTAACGGACACACTGTTTTTCATTATTTGATCACTTACGATAAAAAGGGTCCAGGCTCTTAGGTGAGAGCTTTCAAAACAACAGAAATACAGAAGCGCCCTGCCAAGCAGCACTGCTGCTCCTTGCACAGCCCCCACCCCCCACAGCCTCTCTGCGCTTCTCATGGATGCACTTCTGGGTCCATAAAGCAAACCACATGCCCTTGTACCCTGCATCATGCGCTTAAATACAGGCACACCTCCCTTCACTCTGCTAGACGCCAATACCATTTGATTCCCCATTCTTAGTCCTCCTCTGCTCAAGAGCCCTAAAGAGACTGATCCAAAGACACTAACTTTATCTGAAATTTGACCCCTCCATTTCCCCAAACACATGCGCTGAAGTCACAGATGTACAGTGACAAGTACTAGGTTACTTTTTGGACTTCATAATAAACTAGATCACAGGAAAACTACTCCCCAAATGCATGAGTCAGCCAAGGTGATGTACACCTGAAAAGTCCTGAGTTCTATTTGTTCATTTCATTCCTGGGAACTCCTCCTCTGGCAGAGACAGAATTGCTACACAGGCTAGGCACACTCCAGATTTACTTCGGCATATGCCACATTTTCTACAAACTAGATTATATATACCTCCCCTCCCTGCCACGTAGAACTGAAGGCCTCTGAGTTAAAGGGCTGTTTATTTCAACTACCTGGACTAGGCAAACGTTCCAAACACTTTCATAACTAGAGCCCTCTGCGTTAGACCCTCTCCCCCTTACAATAACAGTAAAAATCCCCTTAACTCACCTTTAAATTTGTCTGTGTCTTTGTCTCTGACTAGCCGTACACTCCTTATGCTGAGATCCTTAAAGATAGCGTCTATGTCGCCCTGAACTGTATTAAAAGGTAGATTACCTACATACGCTGTGTAGGGGGGCTCTGTGGGCAGCTCCTTCTGGCTGCGGGAACCATGGCCTCCAGCACTGCCACGGGACCTGGGAGGGGAACAAAGACAGGATTCAAGTCTGCCGTGTGTTCTTGCCCCAGAGGGCCAAGGACAATGTCTCCCACTCAGCCACACCAACTTGGTGAGATAAACCCATCTACATCACCCTGAAGTGACAGAGTATTCCAAAATTCATTATGGAAAACATGCCCATTTTTGGATGACAAAAATGTCCAGAAATACAGAATGTGTAAACATAGATATCCCTAGAGAATCAAATCCAAACAGAACATCCTCCTACAGAAAGGGGTTCTCCTATTCCCTAAGAAAGTATAGGAGAACAGAACCTAAGCCAATGCCCTCCGTCACACCCAATAATACTACACGTACAGAAATGAACTGTCCAACTTACTGTCCTGAAGCTGAAGTTTAACTCATTCACAAAAAAGCTGTCTCCTGCTATTGTCTGATGATGGATAACACGCCCTCTACAGATTTGTGTGCAGCAAGTACTAGGTACATACATGCTCTCCACTCCACCATGCACTACCTCACTGGGTCCTCAAATATATGTGCATATGACTAATTCAACTACGCCTCAATGCCATGTCCTCAGCTGAGACAAGAGATGTTTACTTGTCCATGGTGGCTCAGTCAGTAAAGAATCTGCCTGCAATGCGGGAGACCTGGGTTTGATCCCTGGGTTGGGAAGATCCCCTGGAGAAGGGAACCGCTACTCACTCTAGTATTCTGGCCTGCAAAATCTCATGGACAGATGAGCCTGGCAGGCTACAGTCTATGGGGTCGCAAAGAGTTGGACACGACTGAGTGACTTTCCCTTTCACAGAGCTTATAAGTGGCAGGACCCTGACTCCATCACATCATTGCTAATGTGCAGAGGTAGTGGTTTAAATCCCAGCTCTACCAATATTTACCCCACCACAGAACCTGGAGGAGTTACTCAGTTTCTCTAAGCTTTATTTGGAAAACTGTATTAATACTAAAAAAGACACTGAGTTACTGAGAAATACATATGGTGCTGCATACACTGCTTGACACAGTGTACATGTGTAGAGTAACAATGACCACCATCATGGCCTTCTACAACCTGAGATTTACAATGTTTTACAGGTAATTTAAAAATAAATGGGGCCATTATACATTTGCCAAAATCCACAAAACGGCACGCACGATGTCAGGAGTGAACCCTATGTAAACTGTGCACACCAGGTGATGACATTGTCCCTGCAGGCTCAGTGACTAGAACAAATGTACTACCGTGATGCAGATGTTAACAGTGGGGGACGCTGTGCCCCTGTGAGGGCAAGGGGGATATGCTCAATTTTGCTCTGAACCTACACCAGTCTACTAAAATTAATGAAAGGGTGGGGAGCTCTTCTTTACATTAATAATGATGTCAGCTAAAAAATGCAGGAAGAATCATGTAATTAGAAAACCACACCAACACAGCAGTGACTGATTCAGGCAAGGCTCAGTTACCACCGTGAACAGGCAACTGAATTTACTATCTCCAGTAATGGGACAAATTTAATGACATGCCCTCTATTTGAACACAGACTCTTCAAATGCATAAAAGTTATGGAAGACTTTTTTAAGGCAGGGAGACTAATGAAATGACAACCAGTGCTACGTGTGATCTTTGGATCCTAGAACAAACAGCCATAAAAGAAAAAGCATATGGAGAAATTTGAAACTGGTGTGTATAAATATTGTCAGCATTAAATCTCTTAGGAGTGATAACTGGTACTACAGTTAGCAGGATGCCTCTGTTCTCAGGAAGACAAATTACTTAAGAATGAAGTGTCAGGACAGCCATTTATTTTCAAAGGGTTTGGCACAAATGTCATGTGTGTGTGCATGAATATATAAAGACAAACACTTGTGAAACTTGTGAATCTACTGCTGTCCATTGTATCATGTTCTTTCAACTTTATTGGAGACCTGAAAGATTTCAAAATAAAATGTTTAGAGGAAAAAAATTTAAAAGAGGGAGGTGTTCCTTTTAAGAGACACTTAAATGAGTCTCCTCACATGAGTCAAAGGTCTGCCCAAAGTCAACCTTCCCTTCTTTCTGCAGGGTATATTGTTAATACCAGGTCTTGGAAAGTAACTTGACTCTTAAAATTCACACAGTGCTAGAAATATCATGAAAGAAATTCCTCAACTTGCCTGACATGAATTCCAGATACCTCAAATGTTTGATAATATCTTTAAGACAACACTTTTTTTTTTTAAGCAGAAGAACCAGGCTATAATATAATTCTTAGATGGCTGTATTTTTAAGTTTAATTAACTCAGAACTGCTACCTCCTAATAGAAAACCCTGCATTCTGTCCTAAGGATAAGAGAAAAATAGACTTACAAGTGAATGTTGCTTATTTTGCATTTAAATAACCATAAAACCTAAAATATTTTCAGGAAGATACTCCTTGGGACTGGATACTGAATGTATAAAAACGGTACAAACACTCGGAAAACTGTCAAAACAGAGAACCAACTATAATTTAAAACACTTAAAATAATACCTGGTGGAAAACAGCCCCTTGCCCTCAAGTAGCTTATGTCTGAGTAGCACAAATAAAACAAAAATAACTGTAAGTGCATACACACATGCTTGTGTATATATGTAGATAAGTACATAAAAAAAGGCAAAGGGCTAAAATGACCTTTTTAAAAAAAACCAATGAGAAGGTGAGGATGAAGGAATGGTAAATTTGGCAGGTGCACACTTAATGAACCAAGAAAACAGGAGGGAGAAAGGCTCGCTTAAAGGGCGCGTGAGAACTCCTGTGGGGCGCGGGATAGAGGACTGGAAAGACAGACTGAACGACCTCTGGCTGAGTGCAGAAAGCCACCTGAGCCTGGACAAGGATCGGGGTCCAGGCGAGTGCTGAGAAGTTGGGGGGGCGCTAGCAAGAATGCAGGATGATCAGAAGCCAGTTCTGGCTTTGGGAAGATAAAGACTGAAGAGCCCCACTTCAGGCAAGCAGGACTTTAAAAGCAGGAACTGTGCAAAGAGCTAACCCAGACCCATGAATTCTCTCGTTTCACCCTAGCCTCACACAACTGCCAGTGGTTCAACACTAGATTTTCTCAAGAAATCACAGAGGCAGTCCTAAATACTGCCCTACCTGATGCCATCAGCTCTGTAGGCCTTGAGTGGTTCTCAGCTTCTCACTGACTAGTTCAGTGAAGACACTCCGGCGCACTGGGGCTGGAGCCGCACAGGCAGAAGTCAGTGTACTCACTCCACCAGCCTACAGCGTGCCAGCAACTTGAGACAAAGCCCAGAGCAAACGCAGGCAAGTAATAAAATGATACATGCTGTCATCAACCAATCAAATAAAAAGTCAAATGTCAGAAAGTCTTTGAGCTAAAATTCTTACGAGACACTTTAGGTTAAAAGACAGAAGACTCATCTGGCACCTTAGTGTGGTGAAGGACCTCTTCCAAATCACCTCTGTACCTCGGTTTTTGTACCTGTTATTTTATAAATATTCAAATTTCTATGTTATAAAGGAGCTTGAGACTGACCATAAAAATACTTCACAAGACTGACTGCTTTATAAAAGTTGAATAACAATTCTGAAGTGTTATGGGTAGACTAAACACCCTGCAGGATACGCTGCTCGTGCAGAAGTAGGCTGACCAGCAGCTGTGGCTGTAAACAGGCAACAGACAGGCGGAACGGCAACTCAGAGCCAGACAGAGCTGAGGATCTGTGCCGCGCTCCCAGGCCCGTCACCCGGAGCAAGGGTCCTGCCCAGTCATGCCTGCTGTCAACAGGGACAGCCTATTGATAAAAGTGTGTGCGTGTGTGAGACAGCCTATTGATAAAAGTTTGTGTGTGTGTGTGTCTGACAGCCTATTGATAAAAGTGTGTGTGTGTGTGAGACAGCCTATTGATAAAAGTTTGTGTGTGTGTGTGTGTGTCTGACAGCCTATTGATAAAAGTGTGTGTGTGTGTGAGACAGCCTATTGATAAAAGTTTGTGTGTGTGTGTAGGTTTTAAAGTAATAAGTACATCCTCAGTCATTTCAGAAAGCCAACTTTCAACTCGAGGTGTGACCAAAATCCTACAGACAGATCACATTTCTTTACTCAAGTCAAGTCAACAAAGCATCTGAATGTCTATTAAATACAGAGCACCATATTAAGAGCACAAACCTAAGACTCAGTTCCTACTCGCAAGGAGCTGATAATTCAGCTAAGGGGGTCCAGGTATCTACAAAGAAGAAATCACATCCCAAGTAAAAGATGACAGAAAATTCAGGAGACAGTAATGAGCACCATCTCTGCAGGGTGGAGCAAAAGGCACTTGAACTCTGTTTTCCAGACAGCAGATAAAACACTGAACTCAACATGATAATGTGAGTAAGCGAAGATAAACAGGAGTGAGAGGAGACTGGAGGAAGGGTGACTGTAAGAAAAAAGAAGAGAAGAGAGTATTAGGACAGGGATTACAAATCAGTAAGTGGATGAAATAAAACCAAGCACTCAAGATTTGCTCCCAAAGTATGTAAGATAATAAATAATGAAGGACACATGCTGTTATTTGTGGGGAAGAATTTTACAAAGACTTCTAAGTGAATCAAACTATACAGGACTTCCCTGGTAGGGCATGGACAGGAATCTGCGTGTCAATCCACACAGGGGACACGGGTCCGATCCCTGGTCCGAGAAGATTCCATATGCGGTGGAGCAACTAAGCCCATGTGCCACAACTCCCGAGTCCACATGTCCCAGAGCCTGCGCTCCGCAACCAAAGAAGCCACTGCAACGAGAAGCTCACCGACTGCAACTGGAGAGGAGCCCCCACTCGCCACAATGAGAGAAGTCTAGGGGCAGCAGAGAAGACCCAGCACAGCCAGAAACAAACAGAAAGCAACCACACAGAATTTAGGTACTGTTGCTGTCATTGTTTAAAGACCAGTAACAAGGTGCCATGGCCTGGCGTACTAACCTCTTGGGTAACTGGAACATCCGGCGCGCTCTGCCTCTAGCACTTCTAGGTGATAACTGAGTTAG